CTTTCTCCCTCTTTCTATCTTTCTCCCTCTTTCTATCTTTCTCTTTAACTGCCTGGGTTAGCACAAGAGTTTTATCCTCTACCTCAGATTCTTTCTTCTGTATGGTTTAATGTTATTGATACTTTCTACTGCATCTTTAAGTTTCCTAATTGCTTCAATTCCTTAAGCTCCACTATATCCTTTCTATATTCTTCATATTGTTGATCTCAATTATTTGATTCTGCTTTTGGATTTCCTTATGGTTATTTTCCACTTTCTCAGCAATTTCCTTCATTGTTTTTATCATCCATGTTTTAAATTCCCTGTCATTTCTAACATCTTTATAGGTGGAACCCTCTGCAATAGCTACCTCATGATCCCTTGGGGAGGGGTGCTCTGTTTTATTTTCATGTTGCCGGGATTTTCCTACTGTTTCTTCCTCCTGAGTGTTTAAAGTCTGCCTCCTTGCCCTACTTTTTCTTTTCACTTCCTCCTGCTAAGTTACCATGTCTTTTACCTAAGATGTTGAAGTATCCTTTTGATAGAGGATCAAAAAGAAGAGTGAAGAGCAAGAAGGGAGAGAAGATAAAAAAAAGAAAAGAAAAATGCAAGGGGAGAGTAAAAGGAAGATGGACAAAAAGAGAGGAACAGAAAGAAACAGGAGTAATAATAGTGGTGTATAGTAGGGTACTTTGACCCACACCCATAAATCCCAACCTCTAGGGGACCGGGTTGGGTGGGTCCTTTGAGGTCAGTAGCTGTTTCCAGCCTGACACAAGACCCCATCTCCACCAAATAGATAAGAAAAACAAAAATATTTTAAATCAAAACAAACAAAAAACCTTAAGGGGTAAAATTGGGGGGAAAAAAGAATAACAGGCAGAAAAACTAGCAAAAATAAAGGTCTTTCTTATTATTAAAGAAAGAAACAATGAAAAATTATAATTACAAGAGGAAAAAGAAGAAAGAAAAATCCAGGGGGGAAAAGTTGAAAAAAAATTTTTAAAGGAATAAAAACTCTCTCTCAATATATCTTGCTGCAGATAGTTAGCCTGGGCAATAGGTGATCTTCTAGGTGGCAGTGGTTCTCAACTTGTGGGTCACGACCCACAGGAACTGTATTAAAAGGCTGTGGCATTAGGAAGGTTGAGAACCACTGTTCTAGGGTATGAGATGCTAATCACAACACAGTGGTATAAGATGGAGACTGGAGGCCTCTGTTTTGCTGAGATGTGGTACTATCCTCTTGACTTCTTTCCCGCAAAATCCCACAGGGTTGGGAGCCTGAAGCTCTCCTCAGACTGCTTAATATACACATCTCAACCATCCCACATCATGTCCCCTGGCTACACAGTGGTTCTCCTAGGAAAGCATGTGTCACTCATATCTTCCCAGGAGTAGCTGCCCTGTTTATCAGGCATGCCAGAATTGGCCTCATACTAGGACCCCGAGGCCTGAGCCTGCAAAGCAGCCTTCCTACAATGGCTATGCTTGGCCTGCAGCTGAACAATGAAACCTAAGCTCCCTCAGTGGCTCAGTACTGGCCCCTGGGTGCTGTTCAAAATAAATCACTCCTTGCTGGCCCAAGCTCTCCCAAGGTAACTCAACCAAGTGGCCAGGTCCAAAAAAATCCTACAGGGCAGGACTTCTCTGTCTGTAAACTGTCACTGCCACCACATTGGCCAGCCTCTGCCAGGCATGAAAGTACTTGCCCTTGTGCCGTTGTCCATCACTTCTGTTTTTCTCTTAGTGTCCTGAAGTCTCCTCCCTGTGCCCCTAAAGGGATGTTTTGGGGCAGAGCCCACAAGCCAGAGACCTGGAGTCTTTTCTCCCCAATCTTACCATGCGTGGCTACAAAGAAGCTGTCCCTAGTCCACCAGTTTTTAAGTGGTAGATTGACTATATTCCAGAAGAAAAGGGGTGTGAACATTTGGTTTCTACCTCATATGCTTGTAAATTATATGTTTGGGAACATAATATGGATGTCCTTTAAAAAATTAAATTATATAAAACATTGCAAAAGATTTTTTTTTTTTGAGACAGAGTTTTACTCTGTTACACTGGGTCATAGCTTACAGCAACCTCAAACTCCTGGGCGATCTTCCTGCTTTAGCCTCCTGAGTAGCTGCCATTAGAGGTGCCACCTCGTCTGGCTAGTTTTTGTATTTTTAGTGGAGATGGGCTCTTGTCTAGGCTGGTTTCAAACTCCTGAGCTCAAGAGACCCTTTTGCCTCAGCCTCCCAGGGTGCTGGGATTATAGGCATGAACCACCATGCCTAACTCTCCCTTTCATGAAAAATGAAAATTCCCTCTCTTGAAAATTAATCAATAAAATTAAAAACAAAACAAAAACATGAATTTTGTATTCATGCTGTCAGACCTTACATTTAACAACAGGCAAAGAGAAAGCAGCAGGAATGTTTTCCTAACCCAGACCTAGAAGACTATATACAACTATATGGCATAACTCCAGTCCTCTTAATTGGCCAGCTTTAAAATCAAAGCAATAATATTTCCCAGGCTGAAATTAGAGCGACTCTTCAAAGAAAAGACCTACCAAAATCAACAAAGCAAGCTGACTGTCACACCATGTCACAGGAAGTCCAGTAGTTTACAAGTACCACTCACGGCTTCCAATGAGGTAGAGTGCCTCATCAGGCATGAGTTCAAGCAAGAGGAAAGCTTTCAAAGTGAAAATGAGACAGAGGCCTACAAAAAGCAATATTGGGGGGTGGGGTGGGGGGGAGGAAACTCAGAGGAAAACTAGGGAAAATTGGAAAGATTTTTTTTTAAAACGTATTAGAAAAAAATAAGATACTAGGGAGCCAAGTGACAGGAGCAAATGACTAAATATTACATAAAAGGAACAACAACCAGAACAGGACCAAACCCTTAAAAATTAAAAATGATAGCAGAAACAAAAGTTTTAGCAGAAGGAATGAAAGGTAAAAGGGAATGAATCTTAGGAAGTGGACAAAAAACCAAAGATGAACAATAGGAGTTCCATCAAAAAATGAGAGGATCAAGTTAGCAAGACAAAATAGCCCATAATTATGAGTCTAAGAGAGAAATGAGAGGTCAGAGGGGAAGAAATGACCAAAGTAACCTAAGAACATTCCGCCAAATGTGGGTTTCCATAGTGAAAGCTAAGTAGCAATGCAATGGGAAAAATCCACATCAAGATTCATGCCAAGAAACCTCACAGTGTTGGAGAAAAAGAATGTCCCCTAAAGAAAATTTACAGAAGATTTTTGTATTGGGCAAGTGATTAGGTCACGAATAATAACCAGGGAATATCAATGACATTGGACTTTTCAATGGCAATATTGGAAGCTAAAACATGAGTAGTTAAGTGACTTCAAAATCATGAAATTTACCTCTAAACCAAGTGTGAGTAAAATAGACATTTTCAGTAACACAAAGTCACAAAACTTACTTCCTGTGCATTCTTTCTCAGAGAATGGGAAGATGGGATCTATGGAAACAAGAGTCAAGCCCAGAGAAGGAAGAATGTTCAGGATGACAACAGAGAGGAGTCCCAGGACACCACTGTGCAAACATTGAGACCAGCACAACAGACTGAGCCACCAGAGCGAAGAGCTCCCTGAGGGGAATGGCCAAGGGGATGAAAAGGAACCACCATATTTTTCAATAGTTGTGAACATGTCCTAATAGGCATTTGACATGAGAGGCCACACTCGTCTTTTTCTTGACTTCCCAGTCATACTCCATCCAGGCCCTTACACTAGCCAGTCACTCAGCCTGAAACCCGGTGGTGTTCTCCCTCATCTACATGAGAATTTGACTCAGTGTCACTTTTCACGGAGGCCTCCTGGCCATCACATTCATTCCTTCCTACATCACGTCTTAGTACTCTACACACTATTGTTACCTTATGTACTGATCATTTCCTCTGCCACCTGTACCCATCATGTAAGCTCCAAGAAGGCAGCTTATGTCTGTGAGCGTAAAATGTAAGCTCCAAGACTCACTTATGTCTGTGAGTGTAAAATAACACATAGTGGGTGACAAAAAACATTTAATAAATGGAAGAAATAGTTGTAAGCTTTAAAAAGTAAGTAAAATGGAAATCAAGGCAATTGTTTAAGAAAAAGAGAAAGTTGCAAAGTAAACAGAAATCAGTGTCATATACTACTTAGCTCAGCAGTGAATACTTCCATAATAATAATACTGGAAACATATACGGACTAATCTCAAAATTATGCTGTAACTCACAGTAGGATAACAAGAGTGATTGATAAAGGTTTGTCAGATTAGGTGGTCTTCCTCCAACATTTTATGAAGTCAACAGGCAATATCTAAATTTAGTGACTAAGGAAAAAAATCAATTTTCATAATATTTGAAAATATGAAAGAATGAGCAAAATAAGTGGGTATAGCAGAGTGCATGGGACCACAGTGTTTTGCTATATGTATGAAACCATATATAGATTATTTGATAAAGCATTAGTCAAAGGGAAAAAGTGTCTTTCGAAAGTTTCAAAAAGCTCGATTCATTATAACTTCTATCACAGTGTGTAGTAAGTACTCAATAAATACACTAGACATATGGATGGATTTTGACTGCATAAAAACAAGAGAAATAGCTTCTGGAGTTCACAGTGAATCATACAGTATGTATTCTTCAAATAAAATGCTTCCTAAGACTTTGTTTTTGACATAAATGACTGATAAAGGTGAAAAACATAAAACATTTGAATTACAGCCAATAAATACGTGCAATAAGTTAAAAATTATACAGGAAAATTTTCTTGACGTTTTAGTTAGAAAATATATATATTATAAATAAGTTACACTGTTTATCTTGGCACCTGTGGTTTTGAGCAATAGCAAGTAACCATAGACTGCCACCTGGTGGCTAAACCTGCATGTACAGCCTGACTTAGAAGAGGATTTCAATTTAAGCCACTGTCCACGAAAAGGAAATATATCTGTACCCATCCTTCCATCATCTCAATTCAGCAACAGGAGTACTGATACAGAGGAAAAATAAGCAGTAATTATTTTATTAATAATTTATTGTAAGAAAGACAAGCTAATGGTAGTTTGCAGTAAAAACCTTTACAAGACCATTGCATCACAAATATACAGACACTATAAAAACTGTGTCATGGTGGTTTTGGTACTAAACAGGAATGCAGAAGGTCCCCATTACGCTTTCCAATAATGAAAAATGTTTATAATTCTAAAATACGGCAATTCATTTAAGACATGACCATGTGTAAGATCTTTCCTCATCCTATGTACATCTAGACATGAATGACATTATTGAAACATATTAATGAGAAGTCATACTTTGTGGGAAAAGACATACAGTGAAACCCTGGTTATATTAAAAAATCAGGGTGCTAGGTAATGGTACTAACACCACCAAAATTCCGTTGGAAACAAATGCACAAAATATCTTGACAATGTAGCTAAAACAACGTAAAATCAAATCTGTACATAAATTTACAAAGAAACAGACAGGAAAATTAAAATAATCAAATCTATATAAATACATGAATCATGCTAACATGATGGTAGGATTGATTTTTGTTTCATTATTTTAACACAGACAAATGGAAATACCAAAAAATGTTCAGAAATGGCACAGCCGACAGAAACCCCACTCAGTTATAGGAGGTTAGGACCCTGGAAATGGCTAACGTGTCAAGAGGTGTGGGAGCCATTGCAGCCATGCCCGTTTCAGCTCACCACAAAAAAGCGCTTAAGCACCGCTACAAAAAACAATGCAGAAGATTATTCATATAATCTCCAGGTTTCTTAAAGTCCAGGCACTTGGGGGGAGGGAGTTGAGCATCAGACTTCTGTGTGCTGCTGGGAGTCCAGCGGAGGGACCGTCACCTCTTCAAAGTGGCCATCATCTCCACTCTCATAGTCACTCATCATGACCTCCGACTCCACTTCACAGCATGCTGACACATCAGAGCAGGAAGCGGTAGAAGTGTACACAGACAAGGGCATGTTTTCTACAGTGGGGGCCTCGAAGTTTCTCTGGTACCCTGGAGGGTAAGGAGCATAGGGTTCTCTACAAGTACTGTTCTCACCAGTGCCTTTTTGAGGGGGTTCAGACATATCCATGGGGTAGAAATTGGGCAAATACTGATTCAAGTTGAACCTCTGACGGTTTCTCGTTGAAGAGCCCAAACTGCCTGTGGCAGGCATGTCTCTTGGGGGGTGTATGGATTCGAACTGATCACTGAATTCTGGAGGCAATGGTGGTAGCTCATCAGGCACAGGGAAGTCCTCTGGTGGTGGTGGGAAGTCACTTTCAATGTCATAACCTCCAGGATAATAGTCAGTATCGATGGCATTTGGATCTGCTGAGTACAGGGGTGTCTGCTCATCAATAACCTCGTAAGTGGGGAACTCTTGTATATCTGGCAGAGGAACACTTGGCATCCAATCTGACGTATCCCAGTGATATCCTTGGTGGAAAGAAAATAAGAGATTTCAATGTGTATCCTCCTAAGCTTTTGTGCCATGGAAAAAGAGTTAAGTGTATCAAAAACACATAGATGCAAATCCATTTCTGCCTTCATTCAAAGTCAATCACTATGGGAACCCTTTGTCTTTGCTTTGAAGCCATCATCCCCAGCCAGCTGAGTTTTTATGAACTAGAGGTCTCAAATGTGGACTTAGGGTTTCCCGTACACACCTAACATTCAAAGAAACAGTTCTACCAGCAGCAGGATGCTGGCACCTACATTATATGCATCTTTCTAGAATGATTCCAACCATCCTTTCAACTTTTCTTCTGTCATTTAGAACCCACTGTTCTGTATAAGGAAAAACATTACTTCAGTCTTAGGACATTAGTAAAAAAGTTTTGTCTTTTCAGAAAGGAGGCGTCTCTGCCAAGTAAAATATCAAACATTACTTTGTCTGCACTACTTGTCATGAAAAAAAAATAATTAATACAACTTTAAGAAATAAAAATAATGAATGTAACCTTTAACATGCTAAAACTTAGATAATAAACCTCCTTCATGTAACAATGTAACATGGTTAACATACTATTTCCATTATCCCTAAGTAAAACAACAGATTACCTTAATGTAGGTAATATAGGTACATATCAAAGCATGCCTCTAAATAAATCAAGCAAAAAACAAGCACTGCAAGACACAACACAATCAATTTTTGTTACTTTCAAAAGTACTAGGGATCATTTTAAAAGCATTATTATTTTAAAAAACTCTTCCAATTTAGGAAGAGTTTTTTTCTCTTTAGGATTTTTTAAATCCTTTGAGAGATAGGAAAAGGTTAGGCAGTGTGTGTTTAGAATGCGGTGCACAAACACAACTGTGTACTTAGTTACTGCTGCAAACAAGTCAAGTCAGTCAGCACTGGGGCCACATCTTTACCAAGGGTTTTTAGTGAATGTCAATGAATAACTGGCATGCATAAGTCACCTCTTTGTTTGCTGAGGTCAGGAGCGGCCACAGATTCTTTTGGTGGCAGAGTAGAAAGAAAAGAAAACATTTATAATTAAAACAGACGGCTGAAAGGCAATAAAGATAAGTACACAGTACAATGTAAACTGTTTTCCATAAAGGCCCAGTCAGCCATACCGTGGCTTTAAGCCATTATCCATGAAAATTCCAAACGGCTGAGAAATTATGTAGCACAAATAAAATGAGACATAGAAGGGGAGGAAAAAGATGGGCAATGATGAACTAGACACCCCATCAGAAAAATCAAAATATTATTTTCTTTTATTTTCATTGTTTCTGACAATCTAAAGGTGAAAACAGAATTTTCTTAGGAATAATTAAAATAAAATCTACAGGCTCAAATAAAATGTAAATTGTCAGGTTACTGTAAAGCTATACAATGTATACATACTTTATACCACATTACAACCTTCAAAAGTAATTAAATTCAGAGAAATGCATGAATGAACTTAGATACTTAAAATCTCTCCAAACCTTATCCATTTTGAGTATGATTTTATATTTACACTGTTCGTCTTTCCCTAAAGAGAACCCTGGCCACATTTACTCCTTCCCAATATCTTTACACTGACTCCTCACGGCCTTCCCCTCCTGTCTACACAGAGCTCGGGCAGAGTCAGACAACTCAGTGGACTGGGTGAGCTTCAGGTTTTCTTTTTGAAATGGGTGAGAAAATCCCTTAGAGTTATTATGAGGACTAAACTGACTAAAAGGTACCATTAATACTTGTGAAAGTAGAAATCATGGTGGCTTTAAAGTTTTCCATGCATTCCACAATGTTCTTGAAGATGCATATAATAGATCAGTTTAGAACCAATAATATTTGATTGTTAGTTCTCTTCCAGAAATTTAAATCAAAAACTGAAGAGATTATGGTTGTTCTAAAAAATAAATAAGCCAAGTGTGGTGGCTCATGCCTGTAATCCTGGCACTCTGGAAAGCTGAGGTGGGTGGACTGCCTGAGCTCAGGAGTTCAAGATCAGCCTGAGCAAGATCACCCCATCTCTAAAATTAGCCGGGCACTATGGCAGGTGCCTATAGTCCCAGCTACTTGGGAGGCTGAGGCAAGAGGATCACTTGAGCCCAAGAATTTGAGCTGTGAGCTATGATACTATGACACTCAATCTCAGTGACTGAATGAGATACTGTCTCTAAGCAAACAAACAAACAAACCAACCAGCATTCAGGTAACATATCCGTAGAACTTTTTAAAAGTCTACCAGAAAAGTAGTAATTCCTTTAAAAAAAAAAAAGAGAATCAAGAACTTCTGTTATTAAATAGGCACTTGGCAATTCTTAACACTTAAATTGACTTTATACTTCTTGGATATGCCAAGTAATATTTTTCAGTGAAGGAGACTGCAATGAGGAACTATTTAAATTCTGCTGCTTTAACCTCCAACAATATTTAAAATGTTGGAAGGTCATGATGTTAAAACTAAAATTCACTAGACAAAACATAGATTACTTTCTGATTCACCAAGTAAAAACATGGTACTTCTAAAGAAAATAAATGTAAGCCTCATTGGTAACTGTAATCATTAGCACTGGCACCAACCCTGGTCCATCATATCTGTATGAAAACTTTCCTTCTTCCACCTAAATCTTTTCAGTATGTATGTCCCAGCAAAAAGGATGCCCACATCTTTATGGTGTAACATCCCTATTCAATATGGTCTAGGTAAGTAGCTCTTGAAATGTGATTCCCTAGATCAGGAACATCAGAACTGGGAACTTGTTAACAATGAAATTCTCAAGGCCCAACCCAGACCTACTTAACAAGGCCTCTAGGTGATTTGATTTACATTATGGTTTGAAAACTACTAGCCTATGATTTTCATGTGCAATTACTCTAATTTCAGAGCACTAATAAAGGGCTAATTTAATTTAAAATAATTTGAGGGAGGTAGTCAATGTTCTTTCTTAAAATTTTGAACAAATAAAGCTTCATATTATGAAAATAATTTTCATTAAACCTAAAGTGAAAAATATATTCTTACCACATTCCCTTATTTTTTTTTCTCCAACCATACTCAGGGAAAAACAAAGTGATGAGTCCATTACAGGTAATCACAAAAGCTTTATGGTATTCAGTTTTACTCCTGTTCATATGAACAGCATTTCTTGTATTAATAAAAATTTTAAGTAGTTATAATTTACTTCTTTAATTATACCACATAAAGATAAATTCTCAAGATTATAGAGCTTACTTCTGATGTCTGTGTAAATCACTAGGAATGGGAAAAAGTAACAAAAGACACGCAAATAAAGAAATATTTTTGCAATGTTCTGGTGTTGTGAATATACACACCTGCATAAAATAAAAGCACTCAATCCCCTCAAAACCACAAATTACTTTTATGACAGCACAACAGGCGTAAGCACAGGACTCCAGTGACACAGTCACTGTGAAGCACAGACACACCGCACATCATGGATGACTGTACCTTCTTTATTCACTATGTCAACTGCAGCATTGACAAGGTGTGTTACAGTCACTATGGAAGCTTGTAAAAAGGTACAAAAGTTTTCAATTAGGAAAATCTTCAGTGAGAAAACAGTGCGTGAAACATTATTTCTTATATAATTTCTACCTCATAACTTGAAAATGTGAAGTGAGGGCTTTCATACATTATGGATGACCCCTGCACTGTGAGAGTTACCTGTCTCAGAGACTTTTCTAATCTAGCTATGTATCTGTTAGTATTAAATCAAAGGAATAAAGTAAACATATTCTATTGGAAAAAAGGGAAAAATATAGCTATGAATTTTTTCACAATTACAACTGTAGATTTTGTCAGGTCAAACAATTCTTATTATATAAAATCTCATGGGCAAAAAAGTAAAATCCTCGGCAAGCTGCTCTTCCTGCTCCATCTAATGGACTCATACACTGTCCCCAGAAAAAAGAAATCTGAGTAGATACATATGCAATACAAATACAAAAATGTTTTTTTCCCTGTCCTATTGGCTCCCATTACAAATTTCATGTAGTTCTTTTTGCAAATGGACTAATCGCTGGTAAGCAGAGAAGTACAAAACGTTTGGCTGTTTCCTGTGTAAATTTGTCATTTGGGTATCAGATGGTTTTAAACACTTATATATGCATGTGGTGGGCTGGGCAGAAGGATGGCCCTCACAGATGTGCATGTCCTAATCCTGGAGCCTGTGACTATGTCACCCTACACAGCAAAAAGGAGTTTGCTGATGTCATTAAGTTAAGGACCTTGAATAGAGACTTTCCCAAATTGTCAGGCTGACTTCAAAGGGGCGACTCTGTTCCAGCTATGACTGCAGGGCACTAACAGAACACAGGAATGGTGGGTGAAATGCAATGTCGCTGTCTCAGATGGTAGAAGCAGCCATTAGCCAAAGAATATGGGTTTCTCTAGGAACTGGGGAAGTAAGGGGGGGTGACAGATGTTTCTCTAGAGCAGTGGTTCTCAACCTTCCTAATGCTGCAACCCTTTAATACAGTTCTTGTGGGTCGTGAGAACCACTGCTCTAGAGCTTCAAGAAGAGAGTGCAGCCCTAACTGACCACAGCCTGATTTTAACCCAGAGAAACAACCTTATTGAAAAGATAAATCTGTGTGGTTTTATACCACAAAGTTTGTGATAATATTACAACGGCCTTAGCAAACTAGGAATACAATTCAAGTACAGACTCCCAATAGATTTTACTTTTAAGATTGACAATGATTAGTTATAATGAATACAATAGAAACAACCTCATATATATTTTTTTTCTTCACACGGTATGATCTAGCAACTCATTTTTGTGACTTTGACTATAACTTATTATACAAGCACTAAGAAGTACTATTTAAAAGAATGATACTTAAAAAGAACTTGGAAAAAAATACTGACAAAATTCTGAAATATGTTTATGAAGAGCATTTAGGGGACAAAACATAAATTATCACATAAACTGGCAATAGGAACTTCTTAGAATTAAAACTAATGAAAGAAATAATTGTCTTCTTGTTGGTTTAACAGGTAAAGCTACATCCTTCAACTCCATTAGTAACAAACATAAGTATACTTTGATACCACATATAACATGTTTTAAATCAGAAAGGAATGAAATGCATTTATGACACCTTCAGTCTGGCAAAGAACTGTGCCATGTAGAAGTATTATGGACTTACAAACTAGAAAGATGCAATATGTTATGGGCTGTATTACTCTGGACCAGGTAATTATTAGAGGGTTATTTCTGTTTATCAATAAAATATTCAAAATGTGGAACCCCATTACATTTTTGATGTAAGAAAAAAACTACCATTAAAACTTACTAGTTGTGAGATTCAAAAGTTTCTGCTAGAAATTCACTTTACTGTGTTTCTAAAGATTGACAATTTTCCCTATTGCTATGTGTTAATAAGGCGAAGCTAGTTATCAATGCTATTTACCCTATATATCATCAGACAAAGGTAACTGGAGCCAAAGATCCCACTGTCAAACCTTCTTCATTAGAAATATAATCCAACTTACTAGCAATCTCTTATACTGTGTTCTCTCGGTCAGTACGCTCTGATCCAAATGGGAGCTGGGGCCGCGTGGGGTTGGGGGAAGAGACAGATAACACCTTGTAATACCAGAGGTGCTACTGAGATCGAACATTTCAGACTATCACATCTCTCCTTAGAGCGTTGTGTGAGTATTGTGTGGTTAAAAAAGTTGTCCCAAGGATTTTTGAAAATCCCACAAAACTTCGGCAACATTTACTATTGTGCTAAAAAAAGTCAATACAAGACCAGTCAATCAGAAGGAAATTACCTGTCAATCAACTGTATGTTCTTCCCTACTACTGACAACTGCTACAATTCAAAACACCTATTGAGATATTTTTCCCAGCAGATGTTCATGCAAGTAAGTACAAGGTACTATTTAAAAGTGGTCTCAGTGAAATGTGAAAATATGTGGAGACTTAGTAAGTGACCTAGAGCACCTACAATATAACCCTGTGCACCAGGAGCAAGGGGACCATCACATTTCAGTACCTATTGACTCACCATTGTCATCACATGATTCAGACTGGAAGGAACTGAGGGACTGCACTTCAGACAGGCTTTCCCGGGCACTGTATGGCTGAGAAGGCTTTTCCTCGAGAGGCTTCTTGGAAATACAGGGATCAAGATCCACCACTTTAGCTAAAAGGAAAAGATGACAGGCAAACAGTAAGTTCTGTGAGGGCCAAGACTGTTCCATTTACTACTATGTTCTGAGATTCTAATAATGACAGAAAAAGAGAAACTTAAAAACAAAAAATCAATACCCCCCACCAAGAAAACTCCCTACGTATATTCTTGGCAAGTCACAGGAGTTCCCCATAAACATACCTATGGATATCTTTAGATAATGAAGGGCATCAAAGTTTTGTTTTAAATTGGCATATACAGTTTTTTTTGAAAAGTATCAAATCCATAAAGGTCATGTGCAATTTATTACATTGAACTACTTTAAACTTCACACAAACTTTATGTAGGTTAGGCTACTGACAGAAACATCGTCATTTCCTCTGAGCATATTAAAAAAAAATCCTAGCATGAAAACACCACCTTCCCAATTATTATTATTATTATTATTATTATTGTTGTTTTGCAGTTTTTGGCCAGGGCTGGGTTTGAACCCACTATCTCTGGTATATGGGGCCAGTGCCCTACTCCTTTGAGCCACAGGCACCATCTATTATTATTTATTATAAGTCCCAAAGTTGAGAAGCTGTATCAATTGTGAAATGAAATGGTCTCTCCAGAATATTAACTGAAACATGACTAGATTTGATTTTTTAATTAAAATAACATCATAGCCATGCAAAAAAGTGGCAAATCACATTTGGGATTTCATATATCAAGCCTATTTATCTCTAACAAAGACTCCACATTTTGACTTGAACCCCAAGGAGCTTTGGCAGAAGTTGGCACTTCATGGTTATCTCAGTGACAATTCAGTGAGATCAGAATGTTGCTCTTACTATCATAGTCAAAATCCCAGTTAGGCTTCTGAATGGAGTCAGAGTCAGAAGGGGAGTTTGAAGGAGGTGGGGGAGGCAGGTTTGGGGCCACGCTGCAGACAGCCACTGCTTTTCGATGTCCATGCACAGACTCAGGATTAAAGGTGCTGAATTCGGGATGCTCTGGAATAGCAGATCCTTCAAAAGAATTTCGGTCAAGATTGTTTCTAGAGTCACTTGGGATGCTTGGAGTATAGGAAATAGGACGGACAGGCACCTGGGGTGGTATGTCAGAGTAAATGTTCTTATTTAACTTTGAATCAAAATACGGTCTTTGTAAGAAAGCTGTGGCTGGTCCCAAGTGTTTGTCTTCAGGTTCAGCCTGGTGTTTCTTCTTTTGACTAATCATCTTGCGGCAGAGGACAAACACTACCACCAGTATAAATATCCCTGTTATAAAAATGATAATTCCTATTCCTTCCGCCAATCCAATGTTCCATGGGGTGGACACGTATTGGTTGGGTGCAGCGTCCTCACAGTGTTTTCCTCTGTACTCATGGCTGCAGTTGCAATGATAGGAGCCATGTGTATTCTCACAGGAGGCCCCGTTACGGCAGGGGTTTCCAGTACACTCGTCAATGTCACTCTGACACCTGCCAAGAAAGCCAAGAGGGAGGAGGTGAGACCTTTGCCACAAACACTGGAATATGCGGGGCCTATAATCTAATCCATAGAGACTAATCCCTCTATGATAAGCTAGGCCAAAAACAAAACCATGCAAAATGACTAAACACTGTAATAAGTATAAACAATAGAAAATTCTTTTGTGGAGTAATTAATCTTTGATCGTGTACTTTCAATGTATATTTGGGAGACAAACATATCAAGCCAATACATAACTGCCATTTTTCTAGAACTGAACAAACCATTAAACATCGGGTTGTTTCTAAAAGAGTTTATTGCAGATTCTTCCAACAGGCTGAATGAAATTTCTAAGAAAATGTTCCTGTTTGGGAAGATGACAGTTCCATAACACACGCATAAAAGGACAGAAAACTCTATTTTCCATTTTAAAACGTTATTCTCTGTTGAAGACCTTCCTAAGCTCCTCACTTTTCCAGACTGCTTCCCAAGCACAGCCCTTCCAATGTTCCAAGCAGGATCTTATTTTCTACCTGTGTAGATCTACATGCTACTCCCCAAATCCTTCCTTCCTTTCCTTAATAAAATTTACCTGCTTGCCATCTCTCATACTCATTTGGTATGAAAATTCTGGTTACCAATATATTTTTGTCAAATAATCTGAGAGTATGCACTGATTATGATTAGAAAAGTCAACTTATGAACTAAGGTGGTATAAATGATGGCAAAATTCTGAGTTACACCACTATGCTGAGTATCACTGTAGGCCTTTCAGTGAGACTGACAGTGAAGGTTTCTGTCAAAATGCTGCACTAGGCCCAGGTATCACATACTGAGAAATGTTTTTAACTGGTGAGAGTCAAAGTAAAGTGGCATCTAGAACTAAAATGTCTCATCCAGTCATTTCAAAGTATAAAATAGGCACCTCCACTCTTTATTTTCTTTACCTGGAGAATAATAACCACCTCTTAAGATCATGTTAAGAACTATCAAAGATAATGAGAGGATTCAGAAAGATTTTTAGATGCTATATAAACCTTGGTTATAACAGATTATGAAAAAGTCATTGTCATCATTTTCTAAGGCACATGAGTGTAGCCACACAGGTTTCTGCTTTTAAGCACATCTTTATTCCACTTATTTCACAAGCATTTGCTGTATGTAAGAACTCATACATTCCTTATTTATGAATATTTCTAAAGTACAGAAGATATTTCAAGTACTATATATTATACTTACCTGCTTGACATTTTCTTTTATTTTAAAGAGTGAGATAAACTATACAAAAAGGCAACGAGGATTATTAAATTTTGAAGTAATGTTGTCCAAAATAAAGAAGTACTCTTGCATCTGCAAATCAATAGGATACTACAGAAAGGTATAAATATAAATCTTGAAAGGAATCATTTACCTTTCTCCTCTAAAACCTGAATCACACTGACAAACAGCACCATCCAAACTGTCAAAACATGTTCCACCATTTTTACAGGGCTCATCCTTGCAGTATGGACTAAGCTGGCACCTGAAGAGTATGAAAAAATGAGCATAAACCTCATGATACTATTGCAATTCAACACAGCAAAACAAAAACCATTAATGAAAGAATGTAGAGACTTTTTATATGCCCTGTTTAAAATAATTCCATACTATAATTGTGAAAGTTAAGCAAAATACACATACCTCTGACCAGTATATAACCCTCTACATTGGCAGACAAAGTCTCCATTATCTACAATGCACGTCCCACCATAGAGACATGGATTGGAGGCACACGGGTTGACACTCATCTCACAGTACATCCCTATGTACAAGGCACTGCATTTGCAGTAATAACCTAAATGGGCAAGAAGGGATTAAAAAGCCATATTACTCATTAACTCAAAAACAAGTTGTATTATACAGGTTTTTAACCTTTAAGTTTAAATGAAGATTTAAATCTCTAGGGTCTGTAGAAGTTAGTAAAATCCCCATTCTCACACGGTAGAAAGCTGTCTCTATCAATAAGCCTTCCACTGCCAGTATACACAAAGCACAGAGAATTCAGAGAACTCACTGAGCTTTAGTTCATCACAGTCTGTGTAAGATCATCAGGTCAAGCACAGAGGCAGAAAAGACAACTCTGTCTGAGGGACCAAGCACACAGATAACACAGTACTTACATCCCAAGTTACCTGTGGCTCATAGGCACTGGATGATTAAATGAGATAATAATGAATGTTGAAAGAACTTTGAAGACTATAAATTATCATTCATTTAAGAAAGGAGACAATTTAATACATTTAAGATAGGGGTCATCACATCTGTCTGAATGTCAACACTATCTCGTGAAGCCTCTGGTGTGAACATGGCAGACTGTTTTCAACTATCTATCTGCCTCTGGGAAATGCAGCAGCATGGTGCTTCCTGGCCCCCATTGAAGCTGGCCATGGCTGTGTGTTCTTCTTTGGTCAAAGAGACGTGGCACTCTGGGATAGGGGCTTAGGAGCCATCACCCGGCTGCCACATTGCTTTCATCCTGTTTTAGGGATCAGAAAGCACTGTCATGGTAGTATACTCTTAGTCTCATTCGAGTGACACAATGAGGACAGCCTCCTTGCTGACCTGATTTGGACACATAATTAAGATAAGTACTAATACAGGGTAGCCATAAATTTCATGGCCACCTTGTATAAGCTTTTAATGTCCTATTCCACTGAGATTTCAGTCTTGTGGGAATAACCTGGCCTACTCCAGGTGCACAATCTATATATATACTTTCCAAAGAAAACAGTAGAAAAGAAAGCCTTTTGAAATCCCACTTCAAGTATTATTTGAATTTTTGTTATTAATTATAGAAAGCTTTATTTGGCACAATGACTGCCATCTTCCTAACTGTATTCTATTGCTGGTAAGTGGTAAGATTCTAGGATATCGAATACACAGAGCTCCCCATCATGCCAGGGCTTTAAGACAGATAGATATGTAACATTTCAGGAGGGGCTCAAGGCCTCCTGGAAAGTCACACACCCATCTGTTATTCCTAGGAAGACTCTAGCAAGCCCTCTATGTTGAGCTACTGGACCACAAGGGGCACAAGGAACCAAGAAGAGCTGAGCGGTACTAACTAAATTCCCCTCATCAAGCCTAAGGAGTGGGAAGAAGAGTTCAAAGTTAGCTGAGGTTTGCCTGTGGTGACTGGTATGGAATGAGATGTTTATGGGTACAAGAACACATTCTGCTCAACCACCTGTGACGTGACTGCAGACCCTCTGCAGTCAGAGAAACTGTTCTTTCAGCCTGGTTGCTGGGAAGAGTCCTAAACCCTGATCTCTTAGAATATATACTAGTGGATTCAAAATCCACTGTAGTACCTGACACTTTTAGCTGAATAAAAAGAGAAAACCCAAAAATATTTGGGGAACTTGCTCTTAAATGCATGCACGTGTAACATCTTTTTTCTTTTCTGAGATAGAGTCTCATTATGTTGCCTTCAGTAGAGTACTGTGGCATCACAGTTCACAGCAACCTCAAACTCCTGGGCTTAAGTAATTCTCTTGTCTTCAGCCTCCCAAACAGCTGGGACTATAGGTACCTGCCATAATGCCTGGCTATTTTTTTGTTGCTGTTGTCATGGCTGTTTAGCAGACTTGGGCCAGGTTCGAACCCACCAGCCCCGGTGTACATGGAAGGTGCCCTAACCACTTAGCTATGGGTGCTAAGCCCATGTGTAACATCTTAAAAGATTAAGCATCATGAAGCCTACCTCCAGTAGGTGATGGAGTACAAACGCCCCCGTTCTGGCAAGGGTTACTTGAGCAGTCTTCTGTAGCTGTCAGTAAGCACCCAGGAGACACGTCCACCCACTCCTCGATGTGTGCATAGCTTCTCAGTTTGCTACTTAAAGGGAGCTCGTGCCCGTTCAGATAAATGGAGTCCATACAACCTCTAAAGCCATTACCAATTTGGGGGCTTCTTCCATGCCGGGCTCCTTGCTGACGAATGTGGCCTCCAAAAAACACATGGTTATCCAGGTTCAAGGTTTTCAGAGTCCCTGGGGCCGTGCCTGATGCAGTGTGAACTTGGTCTAAGACTAACCTCGCATAGTTTCCATTCACCTCAAGAGACACTGCGTGCCACTGCCCGTCGTTGACTTGAATGCTTTGAACAGAGACAATTCCAGGGCCACTTCCACAGTCAAACTTGTACTGCAGCCGCCCATTATGAATCTATGATAAAAACAATTACTGTTCACTCTGACAGAACTTAAATTATTAAAAATCTATAGAAATGGAGGTAGAAAGAGTGAAGTCTTTCATTTCAGTACTACAGAGTGCAAACTCATCGGTCCATTGTACAAGTAAAAAAATAGATCTTTAGGATCATCAAGTTCAAGTGCCAGCGCACAGCTAAAAAGGATCATGGAAGTGACTAATGAAGGATCAACTGAACCTATCCACAAAGCACCAGATAATGTCAAAAGGCAAAAGCAAATCATGCCTTACAAAAAAAGGGGAAGATAATAACAGTTGCAGCATATGTAGGATGTCTCTATGAAGTTTCTGTAACATTATTAAGTTGTAGTATCACTTAGAGTTTTAATATTAATTCTCACGTGTACCTAAACATGTTTGTACAAAACAAAAGTAAATCTCTGTTATTGTAGAGCAAAAGGAGAGCTTTCATCCCACAAAGTCTAAATTGTATCAGTATTAATGAAATGAAATGTTGAATTAAACCATTTACTTTATTATTTTTAGATCATCTAAACATAAACTGGAACATATATTTTAAAATTCTTCTACAACCTAAGGTACAAAATTCTGTAAACACATACTTCCAAGATACTGTAGTCAGTTCCTCGAGCATACATTACAACAGCATGAGCAGAATAGGTTCTGAGCCTCATTGTCAACTTCATCTCTAGTTTGTTTTCATTTTCCATTAGACGGTATTTCACAAAGCTATTCCCTGTAAATGTTATAGATGAACTCCCTGTGAATCACAAACAAGGAAAAACAAATCAGAAACAAGTTTAAGCATTTTTAAAAGCCCGATCTCCCTTGCCTAGAGACTCATCTAAGTTTCTATCTAAGAACAAAACATCCTAAAATTCAAATCCAAGGAAAAATGTCACTTTGCTTAATAAAGACCACAGTGTAACTGGCTTTCCGTCTGGAAAAAAAATTAGACTACTATGTTACAGGAAAATGAACTCTAAAATAATGAAGATCTAAATATAAAAATGTTCAATAAAAATTATTAAAAGGCTTGCCTCACAAGCATCCAAAGAAATGCAAATTAAAATAATAATTAAATATTACTTTATTCCCATTAAATGGAGTAACAGGACTCACTTTTCAGTGGAAAATCTTCAATACTGGCAAGAGAATGGGGGAAACAAGGCCTTCATACATGACCGGAAAGAACAGAAATTGGTACAATTTTTACCGAGACTAACGTACTGATATCTTTAAAAATTTAAAATGTAGTTAATCTTTGACATAGCAAATCCTAGTTTTAGAAAGAATTTATTCTATAGAAATGAAAGCACCAATATGTAAAGATACATGCATGAAGATGTTTTTAACAGAAACATAAGAACTGAATCTTTGTATGTAAGGAAAATGTTAAATAAATGATGGTACAGCCATGATAGAAAATACCGTCGTGTTGTCCAGCTGTTAATAAGAAATAGAGTTACATGTATTGGCTTGGAAGTTCTCAAAATACTGCTAAATGGAAGAAAAAAACAAGAGGTAGAGAACTATGTGAGATATGACAGTCTTGAGGTTTTTTTGTTTTAAGAAAGTGTACATGTCAAATATATTACAAGTGGAGTATAAATGTCTAAACACAACAATTGAATAAGTGAGATGAATGATATGTTGACCAGTTTGATGTGAACATTCTAGATTGTATATAGAGTCAGCACATTGTACTCCATAATTGCAGTAATATACACAGTTATAATCTAATAATAAAAAAAAAAGAAAGCAGATGAGAGAAAACAAGGAAAAATAAACTTCTATACACAAGGCTATTTATTTAGCCATAAGTTCATACAAGCATTGATGATACAGGAGGATCACTCAACTATGAACTAAGGGATATACTGTACTGTTATAAAAGAGGAAAGAAAAGTTACTACATGCATTATTATTCTTCATTCATATCTACATTTGTTACAATAAACATACTTCGTAATTTTTGACTCTAATAAAGACGAAAAGTATAAGAAACAATGAAAATGATTTTTAAAAATAATTTTAAAAAAAATCATTAAATTCTCACCTGTGCACTGACCAAACTGGCCCCCTGGGCAGACACAGGTGTACTTCTCCTCCCTGGGATCAGTGATACATTCAGATCCTTCAGGGCATGGACTGTCTTCACATCCAAGGTGGAGAGTGGGGCATTTTCCCTCTTTAAAGAAAAGTGGGGAGGGAGAGAGATACAATCAATAGAAATTTCAAGAAAACAATAGTCAATGTGTTAAAGGTTATAATGAAATAATTTCTAACACCTATGTCCATTTACTCATGTACATTACCTTTGCAGAGACACGCAGCTGTTCTGTGGTGGCGGGGAGTCACAAAACTCAGTCTGGCTGTGCTATGTGTTGACATCACACTTTCATCTACAGACACCTTTTCCTCACAGAACTTCCAGGGGCAATCCAGTCCTGCACAAAGCTTCTGGAATACATCTAATATCCTGACACCAATGATTTCCTCAATATCAGCCACAGAAGAATTAATCTTGTGCAGAAACTGTTTTGTTGAAACCTGGGCACTACCTGATTTCTCTACAAATAGTAAGACATCCAGATGTGGATGATGTTCAGAGGGCTGCAAACTAACAATCTGTATGTCATTTCTTCTCACACCCAAGATATTCCGTAAAGCTCGCTGGAAGTTGCGCCAATAGTCACCAACAAATTCTTCTGGAGTAAGATTGGCAAAGCGGATGGCAATGGTGTGGTTCAACATCTCTTGTGTTATTTGTCTGATATGCACTGTGACGTCAGCCACTGTTGTGAATTTCCCATCTGTTACGGTGACATTGAGAAGGTACTGCCCTATATCTAGCTTTTTATGTGCTATCAGCTTTCCCCCTGTGCTGGAAACAGAGAACAGGCTGTCCATTTGGGGATCAAGACTATAAGTTAAAGTATCATACACATCCTGATCAGTTGCATGAATCTTCCCAATGACACCACCTGAGTATTCCTCTCCAAAAGCAGTAATGAAAATCTCCAGGGGCAAGATGGCAGGAGGATAGATGCTTTCCTCGATAACCCTGATATCAATGTATGTCAAAGATGACAACTGAGGCTTTCCATTATCTGCCACCTATAAGAAAAGGAAAAAAAAAATCACTTTGTCTATGTCACTGTTTACAACTTCTTAATAAAAACACAATTGTATCATTCAAATTCTAAAAAAAAAAATCACCAACTGTTAGATATCTGTTTTTCCACATAAGAAGCTTATCAAAAAAAGGGCAAATAACTTCTTTATAGCCCTTGAACTAATTCATACTTAAATTCAGCTCCATCAATGTCTTTGATAAAGTAAACAAATGAATAAACGAGCCCCTTCGAAGTGCAGTGGGATAAGAATGTGAGGTGTGGCAAAAACCAAAGATTATCAGTTATATAAATTTGTGTTTTCTCAAGAAATGTAAGCTATTCAAATATAAGGAGATAACCACATCAGGCAACTCTTCTCTACGAACCCACAATAAAATCATAAGGAAAGACTTTATACCTTAACATGCAGTAAGTAGTGATCTTTCACTTTCCTCTTAATGGCACCTGAAGTCAAGAGGACTCCCTGCTGGTCAACTTCAAATGCTTTATCCTCATTCCCACTCACAATAGTGAAGAAGAAGGGTGGGCCGTTGTGAGATGAATCCTTGTCTGTCACTACTAGCTGCAGCACACTGAAACCTACTGGCTTATTTTCCTGCACAAAATTAAAAACAGAACAAAAACCTTTGAACACAAACCAATATGGTAAGACACACATGTGAGTTTTCAATAATATAAAATATTCAGAAAGCAAAGCCTTTTTGGTTCCTTTCTCTATCTGAAAGGAAGAAAGAGAGGAGAGAGGTGGAGAGGATTGTGGAAAAGGGAGGCACAGGGTATGGGGGAAGGGAAGAAGGGAATAGGGAAGGACTGGGAAGCAACAGCAGCAGCAGAACGATGAAGAAACAAATTCCCGCTAATCCCGGAACTCAGACTTTGTCAGAAAGAGATAAAAGCCTGGTTGCATCTTGAAAATGTTCTTCCTTTAATATGGACAGAGACTCCTCTGCTTTTACTTTTCCCACTTTCTAAAAAGAAATGTTTGGAAAAGAAAGATATTTTGAACTTGAAACTGAGTCTAAAGAAGCAGATTCAAGAGCCTGACAGCCCCCAGGCAGCCCTAGAGGCGTACCTGGACAATGAGGCTGTAGTTCTCTTGGGAGAAGGCCGGGGCATTGTCATTCACATCAGAAACATCAATATTCACAGTCGTGGTGTTGACTCTGGGTGGACTCCCGTTGTCAGAAGCTTGAACTGTGAGCGTGTAACCTGAAATCTTTTTTTGGGGGTGGGGGTGGGGGGGAAGACAGAGAGAATGCATGTTCATTTTCACAAGGCCAACCTACAGGATCTCTATCAGAAGTGTCCTCCAGACAATGTGGAAGGGCAGATCCCAATTAACTGTCAGCATCTGCTGCAGCCTGCATGTGAGTAATACTCTAACCTATGAATGAATGCACTGCAAAAGCATGTATTTTTCCACAGTAAAGTCACCAATAATCATTAAATTCCCTGATGTCTCTCCAAAATGGTCTCATTTTGTTGAAGTGTTTTATCTTTTAAAACTTGCAGTTCTAATTAAGAAGTTAAGACAGAAAAGTAATACAATTGACAAGGAAAAACGTGGTCATTATCTCAAAAGCTGCTCTTTGGTGTTCTGTGGCAGGCAGCCTTCCTTAGGGCCCAACCTTGCTCTCAGCCAGAAGTGCAGACATTAGTGCCTGCCCTACAGCCACTCCTTTCTAATACCTCAGGACATTCCAGATCACTCTCCCCCTCAAATTCACACTTGGACTGTACTCAGCTGTCTGCATCCCTCAAGATTATCTCTTTTTGACCTTCCACAAAAGAAAGTAAGTGAGACAGTTTTTCTGAGGGCAATTCACTATGAAACACTCCCTTCTAGAATGAGTGGTAGGAGAATCAGAAAGCTGGCTAAGTCCCAGAGAATGTTCTGTAGAACATCAGTCCTGTGAGACGCGCCAATAAAAAGAGTTCTGAGGGCAGATTATTTTGGGAAACACCACAGGTTGTCTCCTCTGCAACTTGACAAGGGGTTAGATATATTAAAGGATCTGGGTTCTTAAGTCAAAAATACTAAATTTTATTCTGCCCAGCAGTACAATATAAGACCCTGTACCCAAATAATAGAACAAAAAAGAAATTAAAGAATTAGGACATTGATGAGGTATCATCTCTATTACTGCAAATTCCTCTAATCTTAGATGTAGCCATTATTCTTCTGAAATTGCATTCTGAGTTGCACTGATGTCCTTCTAATTTCCAGGATGAAGGCTCCCTTCACTTTTCTACATTACTGTTTCTCTGCAGCAGCTCCTGTACTTCCCCTCCAGTCTGTGAGTCTGAGTGGATGGATGTACGGAAGGATGAATGGCAATGGATTGTTGGACTGGTAGATGGGGTGGGTGATAGATGGATGCATGTTTGCTCAGCCTGGCTTACCACATTCACCTTAATCCCTCACATCGTTATTATGATCATCTCCAGAAGTATTTACCATTTACCTCTAGCCTTTAAATCTCTAAATTTGACTGAAATCTTCAAATCCTGGCTGAATAATTCTACTTGAATATACTCTTTTCCTTTAAGAATCAGCACATCCTACAACCACATTCATTAACACCCCCACCCCCTACTAGTTTTATACCTCAAGTGACCTCCCAACTTCTCTTTAATGTGACTACCCTGTCAAAGGAAGACCATAGGAAATCAGGTCACCTCTGACACTACTGCTTTCTATGTGGGGCCATATCTAAGTCTCTGGACTCCCGTTTTTCCCTTGTAAAATGTCTCCATTTCTTTTTTCACTCAACTCTCACTGTTGCTCTCCGAAGTCATGCTCTTGCTGCTTTACAGTTGAGAACCTGACACTGGCATCCTCTCTCCCTGATCTGTCCCTACGCTGAAGAGCACAGACCTACTGTGGCACTAACTCTCCACAATGTCTTCTTGGATTGGACAGTCTCCCTTGGCATCCTTAGGGATTGGGTCCTAGGACTCCCACACCCCTAAATCTACAGACTCTCAAGTCCCTGGTACAAAATGGTACATATCCTCTCATATACTCTAAGTCATCTCTAGATAACTTCTAATAGTGAATACAATGTAAGTACTATGTAAATGGTTGTTATACTGTATTTTTAACCCTCATATTATTCTTTACTATTGTATTATTATTTTATTGTTTTTCATTTTTTGTATTTTTTTTTTTTACTATTTTCCACCCACGGCTGGTTAAATATGGATCCTGAGGATACAGAGGGCTGACTAGACTTCCCAAGCTCACAAAGATTGAGTAACAGCCTAATGCCTACTATGCAGCATCAAGTCTGAATCTCTGATCCCGGTTTTCTCTGCGGCCCATACTTTGATTTCATCTTCCTCTAGTCTCTGTGTGATTACTTTTCAGTACAACTGGGTAACATCCTCTAAGTATTTTTTGGCTCCTGCCTCCATGCCTTTGTTCACATAGTTCATCAGAGGGAGTTCCCTTCTCTCTACCTTATAGGTTTCCAACTCTTTGCTATTATTTAAAACCCAGCCTTTAGCTTCATGAAGTATCTCAGGATATTGGAGCCAACAATAATTTCTTCCTGAATATAAAGTTTTATTATTCAAACTTCATTTTAATATGGGATGTATCTCTCATATTCTTGAAATTTTCACACTACAATTGTTTTTTGAGTATTGCTATCTTGCTTGTCAGTTACTGAGAAGGCGGCTGGTTCTGCCCTTTTGATACTTCACATCATGCCCAGAAAATATGAACATGAAGCCCTTTTATTTATTGATTTGGTAGACAATTTAAATCAATTTTTTTCACTTACTGTTTCCCGATCTAGAAGTCTGGTCACTTTCACTTCTCCCTTGACAGAGTCAATTGTAAATGGGTTTCCCTGATTGCCATCTATAATTGAATAGCGGATGTGGCTGTTTGAAGGTCCATCAGCATCATCAGCCATAACCTAGAAAATACCGCATTCCTGCTTAGGAGGTAGCTAAGTAAGGGGGATGCACTTATTTAAAAAATTTTCTGATATTAATAGCTATTTGAATGCACTCATTTATAATAAAGTCAGTAATTGTCTGGCCTCACAAAAGACATTTTAAAATCTCCAAAATATTTTCAAATAAGCCCACTACAAAAACTAGATTGATTTTTATGACAAACTCTTAACAAAGATCCAGAAGAAGAAAAATGTAGGAGAACAATACTTACTGTAATGACAGATTGCTCAAGAATAGCATCTTCACTGATCACTGTCGTGTAGGTGTCTTGGCTGAACACTGGGGTGTTATCGTTGATATCTGTTACATTGATGTTCACAGTTGCAACATCACTTAGTGAGGGTGTGCCCCCATCAGTGGCTTCAACAGTTAAGTAATATTCATGAGAGCTTTCATAATCCAGATTCTCAATGATAAAAATGGCCCCTGTACAGAACATCAAAGTTACTTCCAGTACTTTATAATGCCACCACATTTTCCTAGTAGTGGCTGAAGTAGGTAACACTTTCAATTTAGCTTTCATTTCCAAAGATTACTATTTATGTATGTCTTCTAATTTTTCAATAATTAATAATTAGTAATCTACTCATTCCCAGATCCTTACTTCTCTCCCCTAATTATTTTCCTAATATTCTTCAAAATATTTGTTTTCCTAGACACCACCACCTACATCCCTATATACAAATGATTATTATGTCTCAGTTCTTCTAAACCACCATTCACTACAGACTTCATGTTAGCTTAATAAACAAAACGAAAAAACACACAAATTGTTCTATGTCTTTTAGTTTCCTTTTCCTTCTACTGTTTAAAAATAGACATGTATATCTTTTATTTAGTTTCTAGAATAACTGTTTACATCCGAGTAGAAAAAAAAATCCCTTGTGATTTAACAGTTCCTTTAACATCTTTTCTTTCTACATCATTAATAGTCCATCCCATTTAAAAAAGAAATGAGATAAGAAATCCCTAAAATAATTTTGTGGTATGCATTAAAAATGGTTTAAAATAGCATCATCACACACCTATTCTTTATCTAAAATAGCTACATACAATTAAATACAGTTTGTATGGAGCAATTTTTGCAGTGTTCTAAGACTTAGAGCTAGTTTAGACCACAGGTTAGCAAGACTACAAAAGTATATGTACAGCAAGAGTCAACATTCCTGACTTTTGACCTTGCTGGCAGCCTTTCTGTAAGTGCGATTCAAAGTACTACAACTGTTATAAACAACTAACATGATAAAGAAGAAAATTTAATTAACAGAAGCCAACTATAGCAGAGAAGATCAAAGAAGTCAAAACTACTGTTTTACTTAAGAAGTTACTTCCCAGGAGTTTTGATATAGGAAATAAAAGGTGCAATTACATGAGGTCCTTTACCGTTATTCATTCTTATCTTTACTAACTTGGTATACCTGACATCATAACTAAACGATTAAAACGAGATTCTTTTTTAAGTTAATTTGGTTGTAGTTTATAATAGATATGCCAGAAATGTACCTTATCTTATTATGTACAACTATAGTCTGAAATCTTCTAAGCCACTTTAATCCCAATTTAAACGATTACTAAAAGAAAACTTAAGTTTTATCTTTTTAGAACACTGAGTGACAATGTGTCAGTATCAGAAACAGTGACAGGTGCATCTAGCCTTTGTGGTGGAAGGGCTTCCTTTCATATACACGGTAGTTTACCTGTTTTAGAATCTATGCTGAATTTTCCATGTTCATTTCCACTTATTATCAAGTAGGTGATTTCTGCATTTGCTTCAATATCCCGACTTGCTGCATACACCTGAAGAACTTCTGTTCCAATGAGAATGTCCTCAGACACAGTGGCACCATATTCACGGTATTCAAACACTGGGGGGTTGTCATTTATATCCAAAACTGACACAATAACACTGCTAGTAGCTGTCAATCTCCTTGGCAAGCCTTGATCTACAGCTTTCACAGTAAGGGTATATACTGCCTGGAGTTCTCTATCCAAAGGCTTTTCTAATTGAATAATACCAGATAATTCATTTATGGAGAACTGGCCATCAGCAGAGTTCATCAGTAAGTAGGAAATCTTTTGATTCAATCCTGTTGAGACATGAAATCAAGTCAGAAGGTTTTATATCAAGAAATTTAAATTTATTCTTTTTAAAAATATATAATAAGAATATATAATATAAGAATGTTAATGTACATTCCTTAAAACTTATGACTATGACCTTGATATATAGGATGTCCACAATGTTTGCACACAAACTTTACAGAGATCCTGTATAAAGTTTTTGGATCAATAATTTACTGAGTTAAAACAAATATATATGTAATTTCCTAGGTATCTGGCTTTCTAAACTATTTTATACAGGAGCCTATGCTATAGTATCCAGCAGATCTTTTAAAATGATATTTATTATTTAGCTTCAGTGACAATTATTTGAAAAGTAACACTTTTCTATTCTTCTAATTCTTCGGTATTATAGGTTGAGTACCCCAAATTTGAAAATCTGGAGATCTGAAAGCCTCTAAAATCCAAAGCTTTCTATGTGCCAATATGATGCTCAAAGGAAATGCCTGCTGGAACATTTTGGATGTCAGGATTTGGGATGCTCAGCTGGTAAGTCTAGGGCAAATATTCCAAAATCCAAAAATATCTAAAGTCCAAAACATTTCTAGTCCCAAGCATTTTGAATAAAGGATTTTAAAACTCCAAGATGGCTGAGGAAGTTATTCTCTGCTATCAAAATGTTATGAATATATATCCTATAGCTATTTTTCCCCATAAAAAATTTTCAAAGATTTATAAAACTATAACAAAATAACATTTGCTTCTGTTATGTTTCAATGATACCCAAAACCTCTCTTTGTCACTAATGGTTTATGCACAAAAAACCCACTTCATTAATTAATTTCAATGGGATCTGAACATTACAATAATAGGTTCACTGGGTGTGATTTTGTGACTTTACATATTCATCAACAAAGAATTATTCTAAAGACTTCATTCTATGACAAGGATGGGCTATTCAACATGCATGAGGTAAGGTGAGTTAAATAGGCTGAATTTGGCATGTGTCTGAAAACAGAGGCTCCTAAGATCTCAGAGAACCAGGCTGAAGGCAATAGCATCTTTTGGAAGGTACCTGCATCGGCATCTGTGGCCTGCACTCTTGTGAGTGGTGTTCCAGGCTCTGTGTTTTCAAACACGGCAATGGTGTAAGGATCAGCAGTGAATTCGGGAGGATTATCATTCACATCTTCTAATGTGAGCACAATATTGGCTTCACAGAATCTTCCCCCGCCATCGGTGGCCTTGACTAGAAGATTATACACTGCTTGGTGCTCACGATCAAGGGCGGTTAATATTTTCAGTTCACCTAAAAGCAAACAAACAAAAATTTAAGATGTGAGCATTCAATCGAGCACCTTTTCTCTTGTAACTACAAAATCTCGAGTAGCAGTCTTCCTCTGGTAATTTTTATCAATGATAAAGCTGAGGCACGAGCATAGTAAGTTACAGGTTTCCAGATCCTGCCAGGTGCTTTCTCTTCAAGTCAGAGAGATCTGAGGCTTTAGGCTCTTTTGTATTACTTATACTGTTCCTAATGTATTATAAAATAGCTACCCAATTTAACAAATTGAAACATTTTTCAAATTAACTTAAAAATTAGATTCCTATATTCACAATTAGTTAGGGGGTAATTAAAAAGCTTAGAAGGGAACTGTTACTTGATTACAATTTTAACAAAATACAAATTATAAGAAAACTCTATTTAAAAATTAATAAAATACCATGAATCATTTTAACTATAAAAAGACCAAATTACAAATATATGGTCATAAAATCAAAAAAACATCATACATAAATAAAATGGATACAGCAGAAAGTCTGAGTACACTTTCATTTCTGAGTCTTTTTTTTACATATAAAAAACAAGTTGTACAAACATCTTTTAAATTTAAATCCTTGATTCAAATAGGTAATATTTTTGCTGTTAAGTTTTTTATATCACCCCAAATTTCACATATTAAGTTGCTGTTTCAATTTTTAAATGATTTCAGTTTCACTGCGTGAGCATATATTTGAAAAGGATAAAATGTAATTTCAAATTTTGTGATCTAAAATCACCCAAATATGTGATTTGGTTAAAATACATGATTTATTTTGTCCCAAACCCTATCATTACCTGTATCTGGATTTAGTTTGAATTTTTCTGCACCTGAACCAAATAACGTGTAAGTAATTTCAGCATTGGAACGGATGTCTGCATCTGTAGCGGAGATTTGCATGACCAATTTCCCAGGAAGGGCATCTTCAGGAATGGTATCTGAATATAATGTCTACAAAGATTTTAGCAAAAAATATTAAAGGTCAGAATGACTGCCAAGGGAATAAACAAAAAAGAAATCATTTATTTTTGGCCACAAAGACCATGAAAAATGACTACAGTTAAAATCTAAAGAGCTTTTTAAAATACTTTTTCTCACAAACCACATGTAAAACAAGAAGGAGCCATGGAACGTCACCAACTCTTCACTTCTGAAAGAGTCTGAGCTGCCATTTAATCTACAGAATTAACAATATTATATATTGTTGATTTAGTTTCAACTTTCATGCGAAAATTAAGTAGCAATCCATATTTAATCTAAAAATCGGAGAGAATAAATACCTGTTATATCATACCTGCTTATTTCCAAATACAGGAATTCGGTTAGCAAATGTTCCCAACACATAACCAAATAACAATACACAAATTTAAGGCAAGAGTGGCCTACCTTTTCACAAACTGGACTATTATCATTGGCATCAAGAACTTTCACTTCAACAATAGCTTTTGATGAGAAGGTCCCGTCAGTTGCTGTGATTGTCAGGAGATAATTGTCCTTTTGTTCTCTGTCTAGAGGTTTCTTCACATAGACCTTCCACTCATTCTGTATATTTTCAATAGCAAACTGTCTTAAGGCATCCCCTCCTATTAAATCAATGGAGGAGATGAGAGTCTAATTTGTTGGGAGAAGGAGAAAAATAAGTAATAGCAAAAATAAACTGTACAGAAGATATATGATGTTTAGAAGAACTAAAGATTTAAAAAACAATTTGTATTTGGTATATACTAACTGTCCTAAGTTATACAATAAATCAAAGCAGCATTAAAATGTATGAACATAGCATTAAACCAAATAAAACACAGATCATTAAGTAATAATTTAGCCTGTCTTAATACTATTGTTATTTCCTTTTAATTATAAAAAAATACATATATAGGGCGGCACCTGTAGCTCAAGGAGTAGGGTGCTGGCCCCATATATCAGAGGTGGTGGGTTCAAACCTGGCCCCGGCCAAAAACTGCCAAAAAAAAAAAAATGATTAAGTTTAGATTATATTGGGCTAACAAAACCCCCAGGATCTCAGTGACTAAAAAAACAATAAATGTTTCAGTTTAAAAAAAAAAAGCAAAACCTATTTATTATATAGTCAGGAGAGTTCCTACTAAAACAACTATTAGCTTGGCTCTGGTAAAAAACTAGAAATGGAGCTTTAACAGATGTTATTTTCATTTTAGATATTAACTAAAATCAATCCCTTTCATCACTTTTAATTTTTATAAAATACATATCTCAGAATTTATACAGAATTTTATTTCAGGCTAGGCACAGTGGCTCACGCTTGTTATCCCACCACACTGGGAGACCAAGACAGTAATTGCTTAAGCTCAGGAGTTTGACACCAGACTGATCAAGAGCACCATCTCCATCTTTACTAAAAATAGAAAAACTAGCCTGGCATTGTGGTGGGTGCTTGTAGTCCCAGCTACTCAGGAGGCTAAGGCAGTAGCATTACTTGAGCCCAGGAGTTTGAGGGTGCTGTGAGCTATAAGGCCACAACACTCTACCCAGGGCAACAGAGTAAGACTCTGTCTCAAAAAAAAAAAAAGAAAAAGAAAAAAAGAATTTAAGTTAAACCAGTTAGTTTGATTTTATTTTTACCTGTTATGAAATATGTAACCTGTCTGTTAATCTCTTCAGAATCAGCATCCGTGGTGCTTAAAATGGCAATCACACCCCCTGGGGGGTCATCTTCACTCACAGTCCCTTTATAAATCTCTGCTGTGAATCGTGGTGGGCTATCATTAACATCAGTGATGGTAACGTCCACGACAGCTGTGGAGGAGAGCTGAACCTTCTCTCCATGATCTGATGCAACCACTTTAATCTGGTAATTGGCTCTCTTTTCATGGTCAAGTTCCTTTAGGGTTGTAATCCAGCCTGTTTCCTTATTAATGGTAAAAGATTCAATGACTTCTTCACTTTGTGACAGATCCAGGCTATACGTAACTTGGCCATTGGTTCCAGAGTCCAGATCAGATGCCCTGATTTGGATGACTCTACTTCCTCCTGGCAGATTTTCAACAACAAATGCCTCATATGGATTAGATTCCAAGACTGGGCTGTTGTCATTTGCATCTTTCACTTGGATACTAACCTCTACAGAAGCCACTATCTCGTTATCATTGTGAGTGCACCTGGCCAGTATGGAGAACTGATACCACTTGGTTGTCTCATGATCAAGGCCCTTCTCCAGTTTCAGTCTCCCACTCTGTCTGTCAATCACAAAGACCTCATCCCTGTTACTTTCAGGGGTATTTCCTTTGATCAGGCTGTAAAGAACAGTCCCGCTATGTTCTGCATGGATGACATCTATTTCTGTTCCAATAGGTATGTCTTCTGAAACTGTGTAGGTATAAAAAGGTTCTGAAAACTTTGGAAGCTGCATTTCAGGTGGAAGAATTTTAATATAGACTGGAACAACAGATTCTTTTGGTGGAGACCCATTATCCATAGCCCTAACAAAGAAAGTGAAGAACTCATTTTCTAAGCCAATTAGGCTTTCCTTTGTAGTAATTACGCCAGACAGTTTGTTAATTTCCAGATTCTCTTTGACACTTTCAGAATCTGCTTCAATGGCATAGGTGACATCAGCATTGGACCCCTCGTCAGCATCACTTGCAAGAACTTTAATGATGGATGCCCCTTTGGCAGCACCAGATCCGATGTTTACTTCATATTTGGTTGCTCGAAACTGTGGTGCATTATCGTTGTCATCTGTGAGGATGATGTTAATGGTGCAGAAAGCAACTTTTCCCCCAGTGTCTTTAGCCATTAAACGAACTGGAATTACTTTCTCTGCTGGAGTTTCTCGATCAAGTTTTTCCAGAGTGAATACCTGTCCTTGCTCATTTGTGTAAAATCTTTCTTTGGCAAAGTCATTTACAATATGGTAAGTAATTTGACCATAGATGCCGGAATCCTCATCAGTGGCTTTAACCTCAATCACCAGAGTGTGTAAGGGAGCGTTTTCAGCTAGTTCCACTTCATATTCATTCTGAACAAAAACAGGACTGTGCAAATTGCCTCCAATTACAGTTACATGAACCTGAGCTGAACTTCTAAAAACTCCATCAGAAACAGAAATGTTAAGGCTATAAAATGGCTTCAAGGTGTGCCGGCGCAGGCTTGAAAGTGTGATAATCCCTGTTTCACTGTCAATGACAAAAGTTTTATGATCATTGCCAGATAGAATGGAATATTCCAACTTGTCTATGTCTGAACTGTCTGCATCATAGGCCTTCATACAGGTCACAAATTGCCCGGGAGCAGCATGCTCGCTGATTTTGGCTTCGTAAATCTGTCGGTCAAAGAGTGGTGGATTATCATTGAGGTCAGTGACATCCACTGTAACAATCACATCACTGCTCAATGGGGGCATACCACCATCGACAGCCCTTACAAAAATCTTGTGCTGTTGAGACTGTTCAAAATCCAAGGTTCTGACTAACGAAATGAGACCGGTGCTGCTGTCTATGTGAAAATGATCATGACTCTTGCTATGATTCCCAAACATGTGGTAAGAAATCCCTCTATTTGGTTCTGAATCAGAATCTGTTGCTCTTACATGGACAACAGATGTTCCAATAACAGACGCCTCAGACAGGGTGGCGGCATACGACTGGTGAGCAAACACAGGAGGGTTGTCGTTGATGTCCTCCACTACAATGTCCACAAATACTTCAGCATGAGCCCCAGTCAAGGAGTCAGTTGCTCGTACACTCAGCTTATATGCTGGGTGGGACTCAAAATCCAGAGGAGCTATGACATTTATAACTCCAGTATTGAAGTTAATGGTAAATTGGCTAAAAGGATCTCCATCTGTGATGCTGTAGAACACTTTCAACCCTTCTGGGCTGTTGGCTTGTACATGGACCACAGGGCTGTGCATCTGGACATTCTCTACAATCTCTGCACTATAGAAAGTTTGCTCAAACACAGGCATGGCTTTGTTTACAACAGTGATGGGAACAATAACTTCAGCTGAAAACGCTGGGTTTCCTCCATCTTTTGCAACCACTGTTATAAGATATTCTTTATTTAAGGTGTCAAGTTCAAATTGCTTTTTCAGTGAAATTTCCCCTGAAGGTCCAACTTGAAAGTGTTCGTGATGTTCCTTAAGGTAGTAATGTACTTCCCCGTTTTTGCCACTGTCTCTGTCTACAGCAGTGACATAGCGAATGACATGGTCCACCTCAGTGTCCACTTTAACAACAGCATAGTAGGGAAGGTTGACAAACACTGGTGCATTGTCATTCTGGTCTTCTATGGTGACCTTCACAACAACGTGGGCTACTGCTGAAGGCCTTTTTTCTTCTGTCACTTCCACAACCACATCAAATACCTCCTGTTGTTCTCGATCAAATGGAATGCCGGTGGTTGACAGCACTCCTGAGGTGCGGCTTATTTTAAACCTTCGATCTGGGTTGAGGATGTGATAAAACAAAGGCTCATTGATTGGATTTCCAACAGCAGTAATGACAGCTAATGTTTTGGCTTCAGTGGAATTCTCTTTCACTACTGCAAAGTAGGAATCTTGGGTAAACTTTAGTTGACTTTCTTTGCTTTCTTTCACATTGATTTTAACAGAGGTGAAGCTGGCAAATCTGCCATCAGAAGCTCTAACAGTTAACTCATAGCGGCTTCTTAACTGAGTTGTGTTTTGTACAGTTAGGGTACCAGTCTTATAGTCCATTAGAAACTTTTCCCCAATGTTGCCTTCAGTGATGGAATATATTAACTGGGAGAATGCACTTGAATCAGCATCTGTAGCATTTACTGTGATGATCTTTACTCCTCTGTATGAAGGCAACAGAAGAGATGCCTCATATACTGACTTGGAGAACACGGGAGGGCAGTCATTAATGTCAATTACATGTATGGTCACATTTGCTGCATATTCAGCAAATAGACGTGGGGTTCCCATGTCATGCACTTGCACAGTGAAGTGGAAAATACTTGTTTCTTCATAGTCCAGACTTAGCACTGTGTGAATAGCACCAGTGTTAGAGTCAATAGCAAAGTATTTATGTACAGAAGGTTCTACGATGTGATAAACAAGCAAAGCATTTGATTCTTTATCACTATCAGTTGCTCGAATCACGAGGGGGACATTCCTGTCTGTCAGGACCACACTGTTAATTGAGGCTGATTCACTAATGAGTCCAGTATATTCCGCCTGCATAAAAACCGGCAGGTTGTCATTCTCATCCTGTAGGTGTACTAGAACAGTTGTATTAGTAGATAGACCAGCCATGTTAGTTCCTTGTATTATCAATGTGTAAATAGGCAAAGTTTCAAAATCCAGAGATTTTTGAGTGATGATACTTCCAGAATGTGGATTAATGTCAAAAGCGTCACCTATATTTCCATCTTTTATTTCATATATCACTGATGACTGACTATGGGCAGTGACCATTCCAACAAAACTCCCAGTGCTGACAGTTTCACTGATTTCAACAGAATATTCTTTTGACGTGAACTTAGGAGAGGCATTGTCAGCAACTGTGACAAAGACATGCACGGAAGTTATTTCACTCATTGGTGGATTGCCTTTATCTGTAGCTTTTACGATTAAATCATATTCCACTTGGTTACTTCGGTCTAATTCTTTGGCAGTTTTTATAGAGCCCAAGATGGGATCAATTGTGAAAGAATTTCCAATATTTCCTGGAAAGAGAGAAAAAAATAAGTTAGAGAAAATTACAAAGAGCAATAGAAGCAGTATTTGGAGAAACAGAAACAAATACAGAGATCTTAAAAAATTATATTCTGAAATTAAGGAGAAAGTTGAAGGATAACACTTGTTTTATTTTTATCCATCTGAAACCAGGTATACTTTCCAGAACTTTCTTCCTAAATTATGAAAAACAAGCAACAGAAGAAATATCACCCTGTACATAAAGCCCAAACTCACTTTCTGGGTTGAGCTGGGAATGTGCTGTGGAAGGATATGATTATTCTTCCATAAAACAGTTGAGTTAATAATTTTCCAAAATCCTTCTAAAACATGTTTATATTTTCAGGAGTCTTAACTCACAAATTCCTAAGATTCTACTTCATTATAAGGAAATACAGGTAGCCCCCAGGTTACAAACAAGATAGGTTCTGTAGGTTTGTTCTTAAGTCGAATTTGTATGTAAGTTGGAACAGGTATATTTAACTACTGTATTAGTGGACAGACCAGCTATGTCTGTAATAGCCTCCATTCTTAAATGGGAGTCATACATTAGTTGTATGTTTGTAACTCAGGGACCCACCTAAGTCACCACCTATGTCTTAGTCACCACTTATGTCAATTCAATGAGAAAACTTTCGTGAAGCTACAGAAAGGTTGCCCCTTATTTTGAATATTCAGCAAACTGATGAATAACTTTGTGTAACCCATCCTGCTTTATGGGTTTTGAAGATTTTAACATTTCCTTCTTAATCTTTTCCAGGTCAATTTATCTTCTAGATCAGTGGTTCTCAAGTAGGGACGATTTTGCTCTGAAGGAGACATCTGGCAATGTCTGCTGACATTTCTGGTTGTCACCAGACTTGGAGGCAGAGAGGCTTCTAGAATCTAAGGGTTAGAGACAAGGGACACTTCCTAATATCCTACAGCGAACAGGACAGCCCTTACAACAAGACATTACCTGGCCCAAAATGTTAACAGTGCTAGCTGAGAGGCTGCTCCAGAAGGGTTGTTTCACCTGCTTTTCTTTGCACCTTCTCAGGCTGTACTGTATATATATACTTACTGCTACTGTGACCATACAATATTCCCTAGCTTTCCACCATTGATTGAAATCTTTGTGAAAAAACCGGTAGCTTTCTATAGCTCTTTTGGGTAGATGAAGGCAGTGTTTGGGCCTTTGGGTTTGATTTAGCCATGAAATCCCCACCCCTTTCCTGTTTCATAAATGAGTGCTCAGAATTCATTATCCTTGTTATAGCACAGAATTTATTTTCCCCATGTGAACTGTTACACTTACCCCAAACAAAGTCCACTTGCCACTTAAATGCTTTCTCAAATTCTTCCTCTGCCTTTGCAGTCAGTGCGGCATTCCTCAGAGCAGGACTGCTTAGCATTGAGCTGCAAACCAGGGGACTGACCAAGCACTTCTTTCTCCATGTCATTAACAGCAAACACTTCCTCTACAGTCTTCATTTCCTTCCTTTCATACATTTTCCAAAAAGCCATGACCATTTTTTCAGAGGGCAGATCTAGCCTGGTTTTCATTAAGTCTGCCTGACTCTGAGTCCAGGCCCCAAGGCAGTGCCTTGTCTACAACAGGCGGAGGTCCAGGCTCCCCTCAGGCCCTGGAGGTTGGACCTTAGAGCTGAACGTGGCCCGCGATGGGGACCTGCTGCCTCAGCCAGCTTGCTCAGATGCTAATTTCTGTGCCATGTGTATTTATGAGAGCCATTGATCCCAGGTCCTCTCTCACAGCACTGTAGACAGTCATCAGAGTTCCAGGAACCTTTCCTCATGCTACCTATGTATCACCCCTACCTTCCAACACTGATGGACCACCTGGCCTGACGCTGCCTGTGGGAACCATGGCAACTGTTTCCATCTCCACCCCTCAAATTTCTCAGTGTATGTATCCATAAAGCAACTGACCTACCACATCTTATTTTCATTCTTCTAATGCATGTCTCTTATTTTGTACACGGAAATCTTATTTTGACAGTAAAGCAAAGGCCTCGATGGAGGAATGAATAGGTTTTATCCGCAGCATGTTCAAGCTGAACCCTCTGCTTTCTGTCAGCTTGCCTCCAGCCCTCCAGTCATGCTGGCAAACTCCTCACCGCCAAACCAGTAAAGCACACTTGCTGTGTACACAGCCCTTACATCTGGTGTCTCTCTGCCACAGCTGTCCTCCCTAGCTATTCCGGCTGCTTCTCCCATGCTGTACTCCAGTGCCCCCTACTCAAGAGTGTGCCTGCAAGAGCTCCTGTGACCTCCCTGTCCAGCATAGCTCTTCCATCTTGTCACCTTGGGTTTTCTTTACAATACATATTACAATCTCGTTTTTTATTGGCCATGGAGAAATAGTCTTTATTATCTGGAGTATCTTAATTTTGATACAGATGACTCTGAGCTTATCAATGATAACAAGAAGGATAAAGAAGAACGCCACAAGTGACATGATATTGATATAAGGCAGAAACTATCACTTATAGATGGGAAAGCAATTATCATGTTCATGAAGGGAACACTGAGGGAAGCTGGGTGGCTTGAGTGTGCCCCAGCCTGGTCTAATAATAGGTATATTCACCGAACACTGAAATTTTCTACCGTGTGGCATTTGTGAATGAATTAATAAGGCAGTGGGGAATCTGTACTAGGATGGTGGTTTATTCATTAACTGAAGCTGATACACCAGCAACTTATATGTAATACTAACTTGCTCTCTGCATATGAACTAGGGACATGTAGCTAGACAAACAGATAATTTTTGCTCTTAAGTTATCACTTTATTTCACAAAGCTGTGCAGGGAGTCTCTTTCTTCTCCTGTGGACACAATGTGGAAAGTTACAGCAAGGTCCTGCTGAATGGCCGACAGGATGGCAATTTCTACCAACTTTCACGGCAATTATATTTAGGTTTGGGAAAGAAAACCATTTCTAATCAAGGAGTGTATTTACTGAGTATATCCTCCATCTAACAGAAAGCATTATAACACTTTTAAAGTGGTGTTCCAATAATCTACTTTTGAAAAAAGACAAAGTACTGGGTGACTCATGCCTATAATCCCAGCACTCTTGGGAGGTTGAGGCAGGAGGATTGCTTGAGCTCAGGTGTTTAAGACCAGCCTTAGTCAGAGAGAGACCCTGTCTCTACCAAAAATAGAAAAACTAGCTGGATGTTGTGGCTGGCACCTGTAGTCCCAGCTACTCAGGAGGCTGAGGCAGGAGGGTCACTTGAGCCCAGGAGTTTGAGGTTGCTGTGAGCTGTGATGACACTGCAGCAGTCTACCCAGGGTGACACAGTGAGATTCCATCTCAAAAAAGAATAAATAAAAATAAATAAAACAAAATAAAAAAATAATAAAAATAAAAATGACATAAAGAGAAGAAAACTTCATGTAGCCCAGAGCATGGCCGATGTGTCTCTAGCACAAAACTCAAAAATATCTTTTAATTAATTCCTTTTCCTTGAAGACTCCTAATCAGACCAAACCTTTTGCTCAATAAATTACTGCTAATTAAACATGCACAGTTATGAGCTGAATTTATAACTAGTCTTTTGAACTTTACTAAATGTAATCTGACACAAATTAGAAACAGGTGGTTATGAATAAACTACAAAATGAAAGGCAGTATGAACATTTCGTAATTCATACTATTCCAACAGGTACATGCACAATTTTACTGTTTTAACAGTAGTGGTTTCCCACAAAGAATTATTTAGCATAATTTTTATATTACCAAAATGATAAAAATATCTTCTTCTAAAAAGTCCTAATTCTACAATGGAATAGCCTACTGGTCTTATCTATTCTTTGAGGGGAGACAGAGTTCCATTCTTAGAATACCAAATTACTAATTCCATCTGTCACTACAAGCATTCAAAGAATGCACATACTTTTAACTCAGACACCAACAATCACATTTTAACCACCCAGTTGTTGAAAATTATGTGAAAGCTAAGGGAAAGTTTAACATTTTCTCCTACATAAACCCTGTCAGTTTGTCTTCAACTAAATTACTTTATTGAAGTGTTCAGGCATGCACCAATGGAATGCACTATTTTTTTTTTAACTGCTAAATTTCTGAACCAGTGGGGAAAAAACCTTAATCTTTATTCAAGGCACTACCTACACTACATTTTAATGCTGCAGCTACCGGCACTATATAAGGTCTTATTTGTGAATAATGAACTCAATTTGTTTATTTTAAGGGAAACAAAGCCTCAAGTACATTAAGAAAACTATAGTTGTTTAACTATCTGAAACACATCAGTATTTTTATAATTACTCTCTTTACTGAGATTTTGATTACATGTATAGCTGATCCATACCTCCATGAATTCTAATTCCTAGAAGAGACGATTTCTAAATATATAGAGCTATAAACTTTAAAAACTAAAGTCAAATTAAATGGAAGAACTTAATTCTCTCGACTTACTGCAAAGAGGACCGAAAGAGATTATATACCTGGTACTAACAGTGGCACTGAGGAAAATAGAAAACTGTGAACTGCTTTCTCTCATTTGTAGTATTTGGCACAAGTAAAAAAAGTCTCAAAGCAATGTGATTTCTGACTGGAACTAGTGGCAGCCCCACCTATTCTGGCAAAGCCTGAGTACTCCCAACAGGTCACCAGTCCCATGAACCCAGCTTGACCTACCCGTGGAATGCACAAATGAAGCAGGAATGGCAGCACACAAAAGAACCTAGAACAAAAGCCTTCACTTTGCCATGACTACTTCTTGGTCGCCCTCCTTCTTGCTCTCCCCACGAGTCTCCGGGTTTCCTGACCCATCATTCTTGGAAGAGCCGTCCTGACCTGCAGGTCCCAGTCGTCTCCCTGTCCCTCGCTGCCTCATGCCCAGCTCCAACAGGTCCATGGCATCCTCAACATTCCTTCTAGTCCAGATCCAACTCTGGGGGCTATTCTAACTACCTAATTCTATGAATGAAACTCAACTGGTTAAAGGTAAATGGACAAAAAAGGCTAGACTGGAAATGGCAGGAGGGGCATGACAGTTGGCATTGCTTGAGTCAGAATTCTGTCATGAGATTTCCTGCTCTGCCCAAGAAAAAATACTCTGACAAAAAAGTATAAAGTTAAATTAGTAAGCCAGCATCTTTCTGAGTGTGTTTCATAGTTAACTTGATATTATGGAGGAAAAGGTGTGGTTATACTAATTTTGGAATTACCAAATTGGTCAAATAAAGTTTTCTTTACTATAGGACTCCTCAGAGTCTTACATTATGCTAATACTGTGAATCCTCAAGAAAATTATGCGAATACCATGAATCCCTAAGAACTTTACCTGAACTTAGTTAAGATTCTACCTTTGCTCTATGACTGGCTAAAAGTTGAAAAAAAATCCTCTTCTTTCTCCTAACATGTAAAATATTGTAGCTAGCAATAAGTTTAAGCTATTTTTTGCAGAGATATACAGAAATGCTTCATTACTCAGAACAAATTTAGGAAAAGAAGTACACTCCAGGAAGTACTGAGTGCTCCAAGAGTACCTGATTCAATCGAGTACAGCACTTCAGCATTTTCCCCTTTGTCTTTGTCCAGAGCTGTAATCTGCAACACCACTGAGCCAACAGCTGCAGACTCGTATACCCGCCCTTCATAGGAGGAACTGGTGAACCATGGGGCATGGTCATTCATGTCACTGACATTGACAACAATCCTTGCAAAGTTGCGTTTTACAGGGACATCTTGATCTCGTACCTGAAAGAATCAGTACATCATCAATTCGGTTAGGGAGTTTCCATAGAAATGATTAAAAAATCACTCTCAAATACATGAGACTTTTCAGGACTCAAATAGTGGTAGAAGAACAAGCAGAATGCCCTACCATGACTGTGAGAATGTGCTGGTGGATGGCTTCATGATCCAGTTTTTCAGAAGTATAGAGAGAGCCAGTTGCAGGATCAAGGCGAAATTTCTTCAGACTCAATGGATCTATGCTACTCTGCAGAGTATAGATGAGTTTGTTTTTTTCATCCTTATCTACAGCACTGATTTGCAAAATTTCTGTTTCTGGCACTGTATCTTCAGGAATAGTAACTTCATATTTTGATGTAGCGAACTGAGGACGATGGTCGTTTGTGTCTATTACTTTGATGAATACCTGTAATGAATAACAAAGTAACCCGCATAATAAAATTCCTAATTACATTTTAATATTTAAAGCAGGAAAAAATCATATGTACATTGATAAAAAACAATATTTCAGCAAAATGAAACGCAAGTATCAGAGAAATATAAACAACAAAAATCTAGAATCAAAAACTTCTTAAAACTTAATTTCTCACACAGCCTGTGGACCCTTTAATCAGAATGTTACCTTACTCTTTCCTCTCACAAACACACCATTAGTAATTCACTTACCTGAGTAAGGATAGTGGTGGTTCCATCTGTAGCCTCGACTGTGAGGTTATAGTTTGATTTTTGTTCTGCATCAAGAGGTTTGGCAACGATGATGGTTCCAGTGCTCTTATCCACATCAAAGTGACTGTCGAAGTTGCCACCTAGTTTAAGTGAGGAAAAAAATCAGTAAAAGCAGGTCACAGGATGAAAACCTGTCATTATTTTGTGGCTTTCTAATATTTAATGGTAGTGGAAGAAAACTTCCAATATACTGATCAAAGTGATTCTAAGCAGCAAGCATTTTGAAAGACAAGAGCACTCAATTAGGAAGACAATGCTTATTAAGGCAAAACTGAACCCCCAGTTGTTAAGGAAGCAACTAACTGACAGAAAGCAAGAAAGCAACTGTGGAAACAGGAAAATACTGCTGATATTGTCAAGGGAGTTACTTTCGACTTTCTTTATCAGGGGTTCTGAGTATCTCTTCAACTCCTATCTCAGCAGCTATATGAAACATCATTGGCCATTTAAAAGTTTAAGTATTAAAAAGAAATGTTTTTGATATGTTGAGCATACTGCCCTAGCAAAATAACTAATAAAAATAAATGTTAACACTGAAAATAAATAATGGCAGTTAAGTTCAATTAGTCCTGGCTACTACACACTACCTGAAAAAAAAAAATACTTTCCCACTTTTGCCAAATACAAAGCTTAATGAAGCAAAAGTTTCTGTCCTATTAATGTTATCCAAATATATCTTCAATTACATTCTACATAAAATTCTCTTTCCAAATCTACTGAACTTGAGATATTTATATTAATGATATGAAATGGAATGAAAATAAATGTTTAATGTCACAATGAAGTTCTATTACATTACTAAATCTAACCAAAAACAAAACAACACACACATACATAGTCTTAAATCAAATCTAAAACTATGGATCTAGGGATGTATTGAAAATCAACATGTTTATAGTAGGAATGCATGATGATGTGCACACCATGAAAAGAAACAGCAATCAAAGAAAGTCACCGGAAATAAAAAAGTTATAAAAAAAAAAATCAATGCTTTTACTTTAGATCTCATAATCTGAGGCAAATTATGTGATCTCAGCAGATACCTTCTGCTGTACAGTTCAGGTCACAAGTCATCTGAAAGATGTAAAAAACTTCGCTAGCAAGTGTGTCTCCTGGCCAGCCAAAAAGGAGCAAGCAAGCATGGAAGGCAAGCATAGAATAAGAACAGTCAATTAAACCCGTCCCAAATGCAGTGAGTATTACACAGCCAGGTCAGATCCTGTACAACAGTGGGTTCTTGAACTGGCTATTTGATAAGAGTTAACAGAAGCAAATAAGCTATTTTGATTATAGCTAAACTATGAAAATAATATTTTTATTTCTTCTCTCAAACTAAATCCCAATTGTTTCACAGGTGTTGATGATATCAACAATTTCATATACTACCCCAAACTGGGACAACAGTCCAGCCTCTGACTAAAGTTCCAGAGAGGCAAAGCCTGTGCTGTTTGCACCCCAGTGTGGGTCCCGTCAGCTTTTACCTGCTGAAGGAGCCTTTAGGAGTAATACGGCTAAGGACAGAGGAGGAAAAATACAAACAAAGTTTGAACTAGAGATGAACAACAACATACACTTTTGATCCTAAATATCTTTGTAATTAAATATTGTGAAAAAATAGAATGATAAAAACTAAGATGCCAAAGTTTAAAGTGAAATTTTTAAAGTATGTGTTCAGAGGGTATTACATTCCACGTCTGAGCTAAAGTGGATGACAGAAAAGGAGGAAGAGAAGACATGGCTTATTAAGCATGTAAATTTTATTATTAGAGGGTGAATGAATCTAATAAACCATGTTTCTTCTTGAAAATGAGATAAAACTAAAAGGCCACAGCTGGCTCTATAATTTTAAAGTTATACAAATCAAAATTTGCAAGCTTCTTACCTGCAAAATGCCCCCTCTACATGTGACAATCACATAGGCATAGCTACTTTAAATGTTTCAAACATATTCACAAAAATAGGTCATGTATTAAAAATTAAGAAGATGTGTTTTTGGACCAAAACATTTAGGTTTTTCTACATCTCCTTGACGTGCCTTTTTAAAACTTTACTTTTACATTAACAACTGGGTGGACAGAGAGCACCAATTTAAACAAGTTTAATATATATTGTGAAAGGTTTTGCAATCAAAATATTATACTGAAAAGCAAATTCTCTCTACCTACAGGTCTTATTTCCAGTATTAAATCATGAGATGTGTAGGTTCTGCAGGTTCTCTTCAGTGTAACCTGGGCAAGGACTACCAGGAACACTTACCAGTGATGTCAAACCAAAGAGGCGTGCTGGGAGGCTCCACAGAAATCACTCCTATCATGTGAGCAACTGGATCACTCTCCATGACAGTAAAGGTAAAAAAGGATTCTTCAAATGCAATTGGCTCCAGGGATGGTTTGGGTCTGGAGATCCATTCAATATGGAGTCTAGTGGTTGATGACTTTTGTGGACGACCATTATCAACTGCCTTGATCTATAAAATATGCACAGAGGGGATACAAAGAGCAAATCAGACTGACATCCTATAACTGAAGCACAGATAGGCTCAGTGTTAAAGTGAGCCAATTGCAAATATTTAATATTTGTATACCACGTGTTTAGTGCTTGACAAAGAGGAACCACTTTGTGACCGTACTCAATATAAATAAGCAGCAACTGGAGTGACAATAGAAAGGGAAAAAAGAAGCCATACTTTTCAGATTTTATCAAACTTGATTGTTAGATCACAAATACTTAAGCCATTTTACTTTAGGAATAAAGTTTTAAGAGAAGAAAAACATGACTAGGTTTACTGTCCACTTTTGTAAAGAACTAAAAGGATATGTGGTCTTAACTCACTGAAAGAATATCATATTCTCCAGCTCCAGAAAACTTTTTGGATGAAACCACTCCAGTTTTTGGCTCAATGAAAAATTTGCCATGCTCATTCCCGTCCTCGATGCTGTAGGAGATTTCTGCATTGGGACCTTCATCTTTGTCTGTAGCTATGACACGGTAGAGAGGCTCTCGTTTGGCGTTTCTTTCTCGGTCTGGTTTTTCTCGCTCTGGGAGTCTGATTTTGTAGAACTTTTGCAAGAACTGAGGTTTGTTGTCATTTTCATCAAGGATTTTCACAATTACTCTTGTAATGGTTGATTTGGGGGGGCTACCATTGTCTGTCACAGTAACCTATTTTTTAAAGGTAACAGATAAACAAATGTTTTTAAGATCTTCTACACAGAAGTGGGTCCTTCCTAAAATCAGCATTTGTGTAAACCTCTATAGTACACAGGCCACCTTCTCTCATTCTGACAACAGACTAGTGAGGAAGCCGCTCCTCCATTTTTTTTTTTTTGCAGTTCTTTTGGCCGGGGCCAGGTTTGAACCCGCCACCTCTGGTATATGGGACCAGTGCCCTACTCCTTTGAGCCATAGGCGCTGCCCACAGATCCTCCATTTTTATAGAGGGACTCAGGGAGGATATGACAGAAAGAGCTATTTGCTCTCACTTTCCTGCCCACACAGTCTTTTTCCTAAACTACTGTGATTATAAAGTCAACTTCACTGTAACATTAAGCTACCAAAAATGTAATACTTTATTTAGGCAGTAGAAGAGATTGGTGAAGATTTTAATTCTTAAAGAGTCCTCTTAAAAATAATATATACTCTATATACTTAAAAATAAATTCTCGATTTTAAAGCTTCATCAATAAAATATATTAAATCATCATTTTTAAAGTATATGTTAAGTAGTATACCTTTTAATACTAGCAATCACCATTTTATTTTGGTTATTTTCTTATACAGAAGTTTTAAATGCTTCAGAGCAAAGACATAAATAAATTTAATATCAACTCACTAATATTTTTAGGAAAAGGAATTAAATTAATTTTCATTTTAAGTGAATCATCCACTTATCAGAAAGTACACAGTAAAACGTCACTTATCCAAATGACTGTCTGCAGTCACATTTGCTCCCTGTGTGTGCACGTATAAAGTGCAAAGATGGGAACAGAGTTGACAACAGCGGTCAGCATTCTAAGAAGAGGACAGGGCAGTAGGAATAAGGGACACACAAACTATATTCATAAAGTTTTCTTTACTTTCCTTTTAATTAGTGAACAGAAAATAATACAATGAAACATTAACAGGTATGACTACTGGCTAATGGAAATACGATTATTCTTTACCATGATAACTTATAAATATTTTTTAAATAATTAAAAATAAAGAAACAGTTACTTCTAATATGTGTTCATCTTGTTGTTCCCGGTCTAGTTTCCTTGATGTTGTTGTGATGAGACCTGTAAAATAACAACAGAGCATTAATACCCCCATGACAAGGTAAATTCAAAGCTCATTTTTCTCAAGAAAAAAATGATTACTAAAGAAATTTAATTTTTTAGTATGATTTTTTTTATTATCTACAAACAACAAAATAGTTCCCCCTCCTTAATGACTCAAACACCTTGAATAAGCAAGCATTAAGAAAGAGGGAAAATATGGGTGGTGCCCGTGGCTCAAAGGAGTAGGGTGCCAGCCCGATATGCCGGAGGTGGTGGGTTCAAACCCAGCTCAGGCCAAAAACTGAAAAAAAAAAAAAAGAGGAAAAATTTTCCATTTATTAGCAGTTTCAATATACATTTTGTCAGAAAAGATTTTTAAAAAGTCAGATGAAGTTATGAGGATTTCCATGTCATTCATATCTACTTTAACTGCTCCAGAGATAGCTGAGAATTTATAGAGAACACGCAATTGTGTTCAAAAGGACAATGAAAAACATAATGTTAACTATAATTTATTACCTTAGAACCACCTACCCTCAAAAATGAAAATTTCTTATACAGAGTTAATGTGATTTTTCCAGGTAATATTGTTCATTTAGTTTCTTATAAAATTAGAAAGTAAGAAATTCTTAAAGAAATTTCATATTCTTTGTGTTTTTAGTTTTCTCAGCAAACTAGAATATGTTTCAATTTCACTTTAGAACTCGAATTTTAATAACTGTGGATCTGTCAGCATATGTGGGAACCTAGAAGACCATTAAACTTGCTAAAATGCATTTTTGTAAAACAAATAAATTCCCCTAACCACTACAAAATGTTCTCCAACCTGCGCTGACAATGGACAAGCATGCTGGGTGACCTGCACCTCAGACCTGAAGATCAGGTAAAGCCAGTGTGGCAGGATAACTACTGGGGTTCAACCTCCTCCTGCCCCGCATTCTGTGCTTTTTCCATAGGGAAACATTTTAAATAATTCTTATTTAAGAATAGACTTTATTATTCTAATTTATTTTTCTCCTGCAACCCTAATTTCATAGATCTACCTAATAGTTTAAAGGCTATTCAAAGTGTTTCTCTAATTGTAAATGAGAAGTTTGTGTTTTCATTTAATTCAAAGTATTTTTTCATTAAATAGTTACTAAAGATCTCAATCAACATGACTGCCCTCACAACTCCACCAAGCAGTGCACTCTTTTTAACAGGAATGAAATTAAGTGTGCATCACAGCCAGATACTGCACTTTTCCAAACTACACTTAAAGATTATAAATGTCTCAAGGAAAATGCCTCATGTGCTTCAGAGTGTGAAAATGATGCTCAAAAGACCTTTTAAGTTGATCTCCTCTTTCCCTATCAACAATTTACCACCTGTTCTTGACTGTAGTTTTAAATAGGTCAAAAATGACAATAAATCACCTTGGTTAGTCTCACCTAATTGCCTTGAAGTATCCATCAAAGTAGCTATCAGTGGTGACACCACGTAGAGTACAGCGTGATATGCTCATGACGAATGCTCTGCACAGCGCTCAATCACTCCCAGCAGCACTGAGCAGGTACCCATTAGCAAACACTAGTCCCCACTTTACTGTTTACTTATGGCACACCAGAAGGCTAATCAAGGTGTGCCTTCATCCACACTATCAGCTCAACATACAGCCAGAAAGTAACCTGACCATCTCCTTCCTAGATCTGAAATGATTTGTACAGTCTATAAGCTTCAAATTAACCCTTTGATAACTCAGAGGAATGTTAATTCCATTCAAACGTAATGAATTGTAAATGTCCCCTTCCTCTCCATCTTAGCCTGACCACTCCTATCCACTCCTTCACCGTTCAGTTTTAACTGAAATGAGGTTAAGCTCATTTTCCAGGCCTACTCTGACAGGGTTAGTCTAGGTCTTGCTGCTGGGTCCCAGCCCAAACTTCCTCTACCACAATACTACCCACTCAGTAGAAGTTGTCTTTTCTACACAGTGAAGGCCTCCCAAAGGAAAAGGACTTTATCTTTCTTGCATAGTTTGCTTAGGCAGCCACAGAGCTTTCTAATCTTCAAAAAATACTTAGATGTATGAACATGTAAATTTTTTAAACTATAAAAGAACAGAATTAAAAATTCTGTTATGTATGAGAAATATATACATCAACTACTTTAAACCTGGGAATGATATAAATTTACAGCTTATCAATGAGCAAACAGCTCGAAGTGAACCCTCAGTGTCCCCAAAGCCAAAGGAGAAAATTTTAAAGAAGAAGAACCCCTCCACACATTTCAGGGAGTCCTGGAGGAGAGGAGAAAGCAAGAGGCAGGAAGGTGACTAGGAAAGGTATGTCTTTGATAAAGAGATTTTTCAGCATGTTATTAATATAGGACGTTTAAGAAGTGACAGTAAATGAGAGAGAAGATGAAAGTCTAGACCTGGCTAACAAATATAGCAGCCACTAGCCTCTGAGTGGCTTTAAATTTAACTACAATTAAATGAAATTTAAAATTTGGTCTCTCAAACACACTAACCACATGTCAAGTGTTCAACAGCTCCCCGGGGCTAGTGTGTGGATGGGAAAGGCAGATGCAGGAAGTTCTTCCTACTGAGCAGCTCTAACCTAGGAGTGATATATAACCCGCAGATCCAGGTCCTGTAAGAACCCTGCAAATTTGATTTACCTTCTTTTTTTTTTTTTTTGTGAAGAACAGATAAGATACCTCAGACTGACCAAAAATGGAACAAAACATATCCTTTCTTTCTAAATACAAGACAAACTTACCACAAAGACTGCTACCAAGGGTCTCACAGGACTTTTCCCAAATGGAAGGCTGGAGTGGGGGGAGAGGGCTTAAAATAAGCCCCTCTGAGAGAAGGGGTAAAATTAGGGCTTCTCTCAGAACTTTCATACAAAATGAACCCTGAAGAGAAAACTAAATTTTCTAATGAAGGAAGAAAATACTAGGCACATCTGAGGGTGTCTTTTACAGATACAATTTTAGTTATACAGATCAACCACACCGGAAGCCTAACCCCCTGGGAATACCATCCCAATATCCTACACTTGGCTTTGCCAAGCTAGCTACAGAATCTCTTCCACTACATTTTATCAACTTTGTAGGTATTAAATGTCCTAAAAAGCATATCCATTTCTTTCATTTTAAACATCTTTGCCCATGTGCAGTATGTTTTGCTAAATTTCACAACGATGTTCTTAACAGAAACAGTACAGGATTTCAGAACTAGAGAGAAACCTTTAAAATCATCAAGCCCAGCTGCCTGAGCCAGAGTGAAGTTGAATTTTTCCAAGGTTACCAGGAAGTCACTAACAAAGCCAGGATTAGATTTTAGTTCTCCTCAGGCTTCAATGAGAGGTTTTGTTCCCCTTCCTCATCATATCAAACTGCATAACTTACTGCACTATGGTATTCCAATTCTCCATAAACTCTGCATTGTGACTTTCATAAAGCTAAAAAAAGAAAAAAGATTAATCATCATTCATTGAATAGGCCCCCAAAAGCAAGATAGGAAATTAAAGAGAAAGCATATGCAACTGCTTTCTTTTGTAATTTTGTATTTTATCCTTCTTTTCTGCAAGTACCAATGAATTAAATATACAAATGAAAGAAGAGAAAACTAGAAATTTTTCTTTCCTTAGTGTAGAAAAACAATGCATTCTATATGCTAATAATATATGTAGATGGGCTGAGATGGCAAATAATGTATCTTCTCACTAATTAGCAGTTACAAATTTATCCTATAAGTAGATGTACAACTAAAAAACCAAACTTTACATTTTATGAACATCATTAAAAAATTATTCTTAGCCTTTCAGTGCCACTTTAGACACTTAAAGAATTCATTCAGAACACAGAAAATGTCAGGTTAGCTATAGTGTTGATATAAAATTTCACTGACATTTCTTATAAATCAATACTAAAGAGCATCTCCAATGTCCTCAAAATCCAAGAGAACTATAGGCTTCACCAAGTACATATAGGACATAGACGTGAACATTAAAGGACCAGAAGGTGAAGACAATAACGGGAATGGACTGTGTATATATTCACTCAACTATTTTGTGCCATCCACTAAGAAGGCAGAAATGATTAAGACACAGTCTTGTTTTCAAGAAACAAGGATAAAGGTTAGCAAGTTGGCAAAGACCAGATTTGAGAAACAGAAAGACTGGGCTGGCACCATGCCTCATGCCTGTAATCCTCCCACTGAGAGGCCGATGTTGGGAGGACTGCTTGAGCTCAGGACTCCAGCTGGGATGACAAGACTGTCTCAAAAAGAAAACCAGAAAAATCCCCCAAAACCCAGAGTGCAGAGTACATATAGAAAAGAAGACCCATACCCTTTCTACCTCATGCCAGACCTACCAAGTCATAATCTCCCCTGGTGAGGACCCAGTTTATCCAAGTGCATAAAGGCCTCCAGGTGATTGGGAGATCCAACACACGCTTACAAAAGTTGAAAAAACTCACCTTAATAGTTTGTTTTTGGTCATTATAATGATTACTACTGGACACATTCCGGAGCAAAGTATATTACCTATTTCTTAAAAATACTATTTAAGATACAGAAAAAATCTAATAGGACTGTGGATATATGAGAATTATAAAGTACACAAGAACTATAGTTAACACTGCAGAAAATACTTCAAAGAAGTGGCCAGAAGAGCCTACCTCAAAATCTCAATTGGTCTTAAATTGCTTATCAAGGCCTAAAACATCTCCCAGAATCTTCTTAAGAAATCTCCAACTACTGACCAATAATTAAATCCTATTAAATAAAATGTAGTCTTTCTAACACAAACAAAAATAAGATCTAAATGGTTATATAAATTTCCTTTTAACAACATATTTTGTTTTTTTGGAAATACCTATTGTAATGGGTTGAATGATAAAAGATTATGTCAAATGTGGAACCTGTGAATGTGTCCTTATTTGAAAAAGGGTCTCTGAAGATGTGAGTTAAGGACCTCAACTTAACTTCAACTTCCAAGAAAAGATCATCCTTGACATATAGGGCC